AATTGTATTGTTTTGCCTACACACTCCCATCATTCAAATTATTGCATTGTACATGTTCCAAGCTGCATTCTACGTGTTCCAAATATATCTTTGGGTAATTGTATTATTTTGACTACACACTCCCATTATTTAAGTTATTGCATTGTATATGTTCCAAGCTGCATTCTACGTGTACCAAAATTTCTATCTTTGGGTAATTGTATTGTTTTGCCTACACACTCTCATCATCCAAATTATTGCATTGTACATGTTCCAAGCTGCATTCTATGTGTTCCAAATTTTCTATCTTTGGGTAATTGTATTGTTTTGCCTACACACTCCCATCATTCAAATTATTGCATTGTACATGTTCCAAGCTGCATTCTACGTGTTCCAAAATTTCTATCTTTGGGTAATTGTATTGTTTTGCCTACACACTCCCATCATTCAAATTATTGCATTGTACATGTTCCAAGCTGCATTCTACGTGTTCCAAATTTTCTATCTTTGGGTAATTGTATTGTTTTGCCTACACACTCCCATCATTCAAATTATTGCATTGTACATGTTCCAAGCTGCATTCTACGTGTTCCAAAATTTCTATCTTTGGGTAATTGTATTGTTTTGCCTACACACTCCCATCATTCAAATTATTGCATTGTACATGTTCCAAGCTGCATTCTACGTGTTCCAAAATTTCTATCTTTGGGTAATTGTATTGTTTTGTCTACACATCACTCAGGCGCGGATCCAGGATTTTCCAATAGGGGGTTGGGGGGGGGGGGGGGCGGAAATTTAAAAATTGCGCAGACCGTTTTTGTCCAACTCAATATACCAATACTGACAAGGTCATAATGGAAGCACGATACCGGAACATCGGGGGGGGGGGGCTATAGCCCCTTGCACGAAAAAATAATTTTCTGGTTTCACAATTCGGCTAGAGAGCGAGCAAAAATTTGAGCATAAATTGTATTTTGTGAAAGTGTTATTTGTCACCAAAATAAATGAGAAAAGATTTTAAAAAAAAATCATATTAGGGCAGCTCGCTGTTCCCCCCTCCCATTACTGGCGAAGCGCATAAGCTTTGTAGTTTTATTAAATTATTAGAGATAGAAGATGATTCGTTGTTCCATTCTCGACTCTCAATCCTTGTCTTAATTCAATTTTCCCCGCCCGCGCGTAAACTTCTGACGCTTCATTAAATTATGAGAGAAAGAAAACGATTCTTTGTTCCATTCTCGTCTCTTAATCCTTGTTTCAATTCAGCTTTCCCCCTTCAGCACGAGGCGTGGAAGCTTTGACGTTTTATTAAATTATTAGAGAAAGAAGATGATTCGTTGTTCCATTCTCGACTCTTAATCCTTGTTTGAATTTAGTTTTCATTAAATTATTAGTGAAAGAAGACGATTCGTTGTTTCATTCTCGACTCTCAATCCTTGTCTGAATTCAGTTGCCCCCGAGCGAGCGAAGCGCGGAAGCTTTGACATTTCATTTATTATTAGAGAAAGAAGACGATTCGTTGTACCGTTCTCGACTTGTCAGAATTTCCAAAAATGTTTCTTTGTCTGCTACTTTTTCGTCCTATGTCCTCTTACTACCCCTACCGCCCCTAGCTACGCGCCTGCTTTAAAGGGAAAGTAAAACAATCATGATTGTGATAGCACATAATTAGGTTAGTAGAAATAAAAGAAAAAACAGATCTATTACACCAACCATGGATAAATCACGGCCCGGGAGCGTCATATCATAGTTTTGTGTTATCGGGCGAGGACCGGGGTGTATAGCGACCAAGCGAGATTTTGCAATGTTGAATGCTGAAATCATGTATTCTAGAAAATTCCTAAGCTCAATATGTACGTTCTTTCCGCTAGATTTCTTTCTAGCTATATTACTAAATTTCCTGGGGGACGTGTCCCCGTATCGGATCCAGGATTGCCGCCCCTGTCCATGATTACTACCAACATGAGTTCAAATACAAACACAAGCGAGTTGGTTGTGAGCTGAATCCAAATGAAGGGCAAAATAAGAGTTGTGAAGCGCCCTACCGTTTATTTAAAATCTGACTGTTGAGTGTATAGCTTCTATTTAAAAGAGATCCAACATATTGTGCCCTTTTCAAATTTCTCACTAAAGAGTGATGACCTTTGTAGCGCAGGGGCTGTTTTTAATGTTTAACTTTGAATCCGCGGCTCGAGATTTTATGCGGCCGGCCCGGCCCCCTCTATTCAATAACGTTTGCCAAGCCTTCAGGAATGACCCCCAAATCTCCGGATTACAGTTTTCCCTTATTCGTCGTTACTGTCACTTAGCGCCATTTCCTTTTCTTTTCGCCTTTCTCACCCGACTTTTCTCTTCCCCACCCACTCAGTGTTATCTAGGGTACGCACAGGGGCGTCGCTAGACCCTTTTTCTCTAATAATTTTATGAAAAATAAATTCAAACAAGGATTAAGAGTCGAGAATGGAACAACGAATCATCTTCTTTCTCTAATAATTTAATAAAACGTAAAAGCTTCCACGCCTCGTGCTGAAGGGGGAAAGCTAAATTCAACAAGGATTAAGAGACGAGAATGGTATACAAAGAATCGTCTTCTTTCTCTAATAATTTAAAGAAAACTGAATTCAAACAAGGATTAAGAATCGAGAATGGAACAACGAATCATCTTCTTTCTCTCACAATTTAATGAAGCATCAAAGCTTATGCGCTTCGCCAGTAATGGGGGGGGGGAACAGCGAGCTGCCCGAATATGATTTTAAAAAAAAATCTTTTCTCATTTATTTTGGTGACAAATAATACTTTCACAAAATACATATTATGCTCAAATTTTTGCTCGCTCGCTTCGCTCACTAGCCGAATTGTGAAACCAGAAAATTACCCAAAGATTACCCAATTACCCAAAGATAGAAATTTTGGAACACGTAGAATGCAGCTTGGAACATGTACAATGCAATAATTTGAATGATAGGAGTGTGTAGGCAAAACAATACAATTACCCAAAGATAGAAATTTTGGAACACGTAGAATGCAGCTTGGAACATGTACAATGCAAAAATTTGAATGATGGGAGTGTGTAGGCAAAACAATATTATCCCCTAAAGATAGAAATTTTGGAACACGTAGAATGCAGCTTGAAACATGTACAATGCAATAATTTGGGTGATGGGAGTGTGTAGGCAAAACAATACAATTACCCAAAGATAGAAATTTTGGAACACGTAGAATGCAGCTTGGAACATATACAATGCAATAACTTAAATAATGGGAGTGTGAAGTCAAAACAATACAATTACCCAAAGATAGAAATTTTGGTACACGTAGAATGCAGCTTGGAACATATACAATGCAATAAGTTAAATAATGGGAGTGTGTAGTCAAAATAATACAATTACCCAAAGATATATTTGGAACACGTAGAATGCAGCTTGGAACATGTACAATGCAATAATTTGAATGATGGAGTGTGTAGGCAAAACAATACAATTACCCAAAGATAGAAAATTTGGAACACGTAGAATGCAGCTTGGAACATGTACAATGCAATAATTTGGATATGATTGGAGTGTGTAGGCAAAACAACACAATTACCCAAAGATAGAAATTTTGGTACACGTAGAATGCAGCTTGGAACATATACAATGCAATAACTTAAATAATTGGAGTGTGTAGTCAAAACAATACAATTCGTCGCTGTTTTCACGAAGTGACGGTAGTGAAAAAAAATTGCATTCACTTTGCGTTACGATTTTCCTCACTACCGTCACTTCGTGAAAATAGGGACGAATTACCGAAAGATAGAAATTTTGAAACACGTAGAATGCAGCTTGGAACATGTACAATGCAATTACTTGATTGATGCAAACAATGCAACCATGACAAAGATATAAATTTGGGACACGCAAAATGCAGTTTGGAACAGGTTAGATGCAACAACTTATATTGATGCAAGTATGAAGTCACAACAGTACAATACAAATTTAGAAATGCACTAACTTAATTGATGCAAGTATAGATGCAATTAATGTATTCAAAACAATAAAAGTGTAGTGAAATATACATATATTCTCTTGCTTGAATCAGTAGTGCAGATGTGCTGTCATAGCCTAGATAGATATGCATGCACAGCGTGTACGGACAGTACACACGCCGTGTCGGCACAAGCATAATGCATATTCATTAGGGGGCGTCAACATTTCCTTTACGTAGTGACGTGCGCAAACCTCTACAGGTTCCAAAAGATTGCCTACCTTTTTTTAAATCTGAATAATCGAATACTTAATTTGAATTGTGGAATTCGTCCGAGGCGACATAATTTTATCAAATTTGCATTAAATTTTGTCTTTTTCATTTGCCTTTTCCCCAATTAGTTGCTATTTAGCGCAGTAATATTTATACCTGACAAAGATCACAATAATAGGCTACATAATGATTCTTTGTTCTTTATTCGTTGTTTAAATTCCTTCAAATTTGCACTAATCTGCTTCTCTTATTCCCTTCTTCCAAATTGAGGGGAACCTCTCCCTCCCAGTGATGAAACATTTTGAAATGCACATAATACACTTTAATTTTTATACCACTACAAAATGATGGTTTGGGAACTCTGAATGCTGGAGGTTTATAGAGGAAGCTTTAAACACAAAGATCATGATTCTAAATACATATTATTTTTGGCTAAGTTTAATAAAATTTGCAGATTTCTCGCGTTTTTCTTCTTCTACTTTATGACAACGGTTGAGTTATCAACTCATCCAATATTACCAAAGTTTTAGAACACACGTGAAAGACATATCGTTGGAAACTGCTGGCTCTGGAACTTTGAATGACGGAGATTGCCAATTTGTGGAGTGAGTTTTAAACATACAGATCATCAGTACACATACATTTCCTTCTTTGTCAGCATTTCATCGAATTTTCGGTAATCTGTTTCTCTCATTTTTTCAGATTCGAACTTGATATAACGGTCGAGTTTCCCTTCAATTCTAGGAATTGTATCAAAGTTTTGATGACAACTATTATAAACCTACCACCAAATGTTGGTCTTGTAACTTTGAATATGGGTGGACTACTGCATTCACAACCCCCTATTGAAAGGCAGACATCGCCAGCGTCTACCATCCCGTGGACGATCACCGTCAAGGAGGCTATCAATATCTCTCGGATCATCTGTAGATAAGACAATAAATAACGTTAAAATATGGTAACAAGATGAAATTTTTGAAGTAATTTACAGTATGATTTTATTTTATATCAATTTTACATCATCGTATCAGTAAAGTGGTTGCAAAAATTAATGATGATTTAAAGCCCCACTACACTACTTATAGCTACTGGCGCCCTCTATATAGCAAACAATGCCTAATTGGTGAACGCTGGTCCCCCATGATCCCCTTTTTCTTATATTTATGGAGAGCTGATTTGATGAGATAACCACCTGTCAGTGACCACGCTGGGTGGTCTATTCCTTCCTGGCCAAACTAGTGCAGATCGGCTTTAAGCTTCATGCCCTACATTAATTTACTTCTGCTAATATTAGTACTGCTGTTACTATCCTGCTGATGCTACTGCTACTGATGATCATGATTATGTTGATGTTGATGATGTTTTTGTCTTATTACTATTATTATCATCATCATTATCATTATTATTATTATTTGTTATTATCATATCAATTTTCTAGTTGTGTTCCTATTCACTATGTTACATGCCTTGTTATGTCTTTTTATTCTTATTATTTTGTAAATTCAAGACGTTTAATTTTGCTGTGAGCTTGAATTTTTATCAATAAACCCGACATCCTGTCAATAATCCTTTCATTTCATTCAGCTCGGCAAATGAGTGCATTATCCAGTTCTCCTTGATTTATAAATATGTTTATTTTTTCATAATTATCAAACGTTTATCATTGTTCGTCTTATCACATGTTAATCATTGTTTTATATTGATACTATGCAAATAAGTTTGTACCGGCTCCAGTGGCGTATGCAGGATTTTTTCAAGGGGGGGGGGGGGTGGGGTTTTAAAATCGAGCCCAAAATTTCGCAACGACTCAGCCAGCCGCTGAATAAGCGGGAGGGGGGGGGGGGGTAAGCGGACACTTTTTTTTGGGGGGGGGGGAGTCTCTAAATTTCAAAATTTGACATTTTGTTCCGTTAGGGGGGGGTAAGGTCACCTTTTTTAGGTCAGCCATTGGCATAATTTTTGTTGTTTTTTTTAAAATTATTATTAACAAAAAAAAATCAAAAGGGGGGAGGAGTTTTGCACAAAAACATACATATAATAAAAAATCAAGGGGGTTTAATCACCCCCCCCCCCCCCACCCCTGCGTACGCGCCTGACCGGCTCACACCCCGAGAGGAGGTCGATCGAGTCAATAAAAATCTTTAAAATTTTACAAAATCAATTATTGAATAAAGCTTAACCATATTACTGCAGCAGTATTGTATTAATATCCTTTGGCAAGGCATGAATCTGCATTTGCCACTGTCCACCCAGGTGTTAAATGGTTGCCTGGTAGGATGGTTGGGTTGGCATGTATGCCTGGCCGGAATACTTCCTATGGAGTGAAGCGTGAGCTCAATCATGTGCGGATATAATAGAAATTGAATCCGGGAATTGTATATACAATATCAATAACTGGGGTGATAATAATTAGGATGTAAAGCGCTTAGAAACGAGGTATCAATATTAAGCGCTATACGAATGTGACTTATATTATTATCATTATTAGTAGTATTAGCAATAGCATTATTATTATGATGATGATGGTGATGATGATGATGCACAACACAGAACTATATTAAACTGTCTAGTCTATACAATATCAATGAGGTATATCGTGAAAGCGATAATGTGCACACAAATATTGGCGTACGTGATCATACACCGCGATCATCCATCACCACCATCACAATATGCGCATAATATATAGCATGGCGTGTAATGTAATACCATCAAAAACACCATATTTATGATAACAGAAATACACATACTAACCTTTTTCTCTCGTTAAATATCCAAGGACAAAGACTATGTTCCTCTCTATTCGCTTGAAGTCGTTTGAAGAAAACAACCAAGCAAGGAAACGACATTTGCAACTCTACAAAAATGGTGGAACACGACAAATATGGACAATTCCTTTGTAGAAATCTTGAGTAAACCAGAATGCATCGGAAGAAATACTAGAAGGCACTTGGTATTTATATACTGCGTATGAAGTGTGTCCTATTAAATCACAACCGTTCCGACATGAGACGCAATTACCTTGCAGTGTTAGGGCGTATCTACCAGTGCCAACGGGTTTTCCCCTCGTCGTCTAAAGTGTGCACAGTGTGCCTGTCTGTCTGTATCACTAATGTTCATGTATGTATCGAGCAAGCTTATGCAGTGATCACGTTTAGCGTCATTGTATTCAGATATTCCACTAGACATTTTACAGCCAGCATTCTGAGAGGCGAATGATCGCACGTACAGTCAGGTCAGAACGCACGCGAATATATATGTCAGAGCCATATTAATATGTTGCAGTATATTCCATGAACGAAATGTATGTACTATAATGTAAGGCTATAGTGCCCGCCGGTTTAATATATACATGTATTTCTACTCTCACCCCCTGCATGATCAATACTGAATAGTATCTATTCATTTACGTTTTACACAGTCACACAGGAAGGTAAACGGGGGGGGGGGGGGTGCATCCACACGTCCCGGCCCTAGATTCGACCCTTATAAGGGGGAGCATTAAGATCTAGTTTGACTAGCTGTGCTGCCCCCCCCCCCCCCATCGGTTCACTCGCCCCCGGCCAATTACCAGCGGGACAATGACCCACCTAAAAAATTACCCCGAGGCCCCGATGACAATTACCCCCCCCCCCCCCCGGTAAAAAAAAGTTCTGCTTTTATTTAAAAAAAAACTTCTTTCCAGGGTGGACTTCCCCTTCAATGAACAGGGGGTAATTTTCAGGGGTGGAGCCTGGAAAAAATTTCCCCACCCCTGAAAATTACCTAATTTTCAGGGGGGGGGGGTAATTGTCCAAGGGGTAATTTTTTTCGGGAGTAATTGTCCCGGGTGGTTGTTCTGGCCTCGTGGAGGGGGGGGGTCATTTTTCCGGTGTTTTTTTTTCCAGGGGGTGATTGTCCTGATACGCCCCTCACCGTCTTCTAGGTAATGAATATATGAATATTTAGTAGGACACGTTTTACGTCATATTATATTATGCATATTCATTTAACCAAAACCAAATGCAGCATGCACGTGAAATGGAACTCATCCTGCCGATTATCGCAAAAATAAACCTATAGGATTCTTTGCAATTGTGTTTTAGATAATTGTTAGTGAGATGCAAGTGTCTTCTGCCAACAACGTCAAGGTTTATAACCTTAGCACTGGAAAGAGCCTACCAGAGGTAAGATTTTTGGAATATTTCAGCGCGATTGTCAATCGCAGTCCCACTCGTTTCATTTCATGTACTGTTTTAATGTAACTATCGCTCAGATTTAAATAACATTTTCTCGTGCCATCGGAGTGGTGCATTTGCCATTTTTTAAATATCGTATATAGACAAGGCTGATAAGTTTAATGGCTTAATGATATTTGGTTCTCACTCTTTGCAGAAAAAGACAAAGAAAATGAGGAGGAGAAGAAGAAGAAGAAGAAACACTTGCGCCAGTGGCGCTAGTTTAAGTTAGACCGAATTTTCTGTCTTTTTCGTTCGTTAGCCTCTGATTTGGGTAAGGTCGGCTCCTCTCTTTAGAGGAGTCGACCTTAATGAACGAAAGAGACGGAAAAATTTGGTCTAGCGCTAGTCATGCTAGTTCAGAAGTCTCTCCAGACTTTATCCCGGAACTCCGGCGTGGAGATACCCGACTAAAACATACCGAAAATCAACTAGGGTGTCGTGCCAATTAGAATTCGGTCTTGGATTTGTGCGCGGTATCTCCGTTGCCAAGGAGTGAAGCGTATTTGCGCACTATTGTCACACAATTGCGCGATAAAGCACTGATTGTCAATGCGTTGACCGAATACTGGATGAGCGCTACCGCATGGTAAGGCCTAAGGGTATTGTATAAATACCTCTTGCACATCGGTAGGCAAATTCATGCAAAAAAATATATTCAAGAAATTGACTTGAAAACACATCAGACAATTAGTCTGAACCGAGTCAGGAGCAAATTTGAAGAAATTATATTTTTAAATGTTGTAAAACCAATGATATAAGAAGAAAACTGACCAAGTATCTGTACTAAAAATTGTACATGTAAAATTGGTCGTAGACATTCGACAGCTGAAAATGACGCGCACGGTTGTGGTACGTGCGTTCTCGAATCCAAAATTGTATCTCACACACACACTCTCGCCACACCGCGAATGGTCCGTCGTGGGGAGCTAGCCGCCCGAGAGTTTGCCAGCGATACCAACGCACCCTCGGAGCTCCGCAGCGCACAATTTTAGCGGAACTCGAAAGGTTCGAGGTGGGAAGGTGGCGGGCTAGCTTTTTGCCAAACCCACGCTAGAACGTCTGCTGGCAAAGTGAAAATAACTACGATCGAGAACATCGTCGGTTTCAGTGAGATAATTCTGAATTCTAATTGAGACTATATAATAAATTATATCGACAAAGAAACCTCGGTAGATCTCTTATAACTATACAAAAGCTTGTTTATTTCTCGTTTTGACATTTGTTTTCGAGCCATTTTTTCGTGCGCGAGTCAATGCAAACTTTGTATTACCAAACTTTCAACACGCAAGGAACGGGGAACACTCGCGGACCCCGTATCAAATTCGTTGCAAAAAAAAATTTCAAGGGTGATTTTGAAGCAGTGAAGAAAATTTGCGCTGCGATGCGCAGAAATATACTTGAAAGAAACTTAAAAAATCACACCCGAATTTTCAGAAAATCGTATTTGCATTACCGAGCCTAGTTGTGAGTTGTTTATAACTCAGATTTTATGAAGATTTGTCGGAAAAAAATGTCTTTTTTTTCCGTTTGGTGGTCATTTCTAGGCTAATATTTAAAAAGTTGCATCAGTAATGGGCCCGATGTTTCTCTTATCGTACTCGCATGTTATTTCTTCATAGATTAAACATAGGATGGTTAGGGGTAAGACCGGATAACATTATAAAAAAGATATATCCTTCCACCCTCCCATATCCAAGTTTTGCGCTGATTATTGCCGACCCACCGCAGCAAGGCCATTCAGATTTTCGTACGTTCGCGAAGCGCCCTCTAGTGCCCCATGAATGTGCCTAACATCGGCAAGTGAGTCATTTGCAAATTCGCTGCAATGGAGCGAACACGGAAGAGCTCCTCTTCACACACATACTAAATTCATTGCGACAGCACACGTAGTGGTTTCGCAAGAGACTTCTACATATGGCTATGCATGTTAGCGCATGTACTAACAGAACGCGGAAGTGCAGAAAGTTGTGCGACACTGACCAATTTCGAGCTAAGTTGGAGATCTTTCCGGGGCCCTATATCTGATTTAATTTTGAGAGTTAAGAAAAGTTGTTCAGCTGCCTGATTTGTGCAGGCTCATTAATTTTTTTTTTTAATTGTTACAGCTGTTGAAACTAGCCTTAAGGGCTCCCTCGAAATGTTTTTTATGATATTATTCGAGGGAGCCTTAAACGGCACCCATAGGGTCCCACGGAGAGGTAGGTAAACAACAACTAAAATGTGTCCAAAATCACACTTTCCCGGACCGGAACAATATTGGACAGTGGCTTCGATAAATTTTGTTGTAATTGTAGTCCTAATTACCTCCTAAATTTAAAAATCGGAGGTAAAAATAATAAAATAAAAGCAATTTTCTTACCAGACCGATACAGCTCAGCTCCCTTTTCATGTGTACCGTGTAAATTCACGATCTCTACACAATGGTGATGACCTCTGACTGGCACTTCCGTGATTGTGCTGCTTCCGTATAATGCGCTGAATAACACTCATACAGCGCATTATACGGAAGCAGCACAATCACGGAAGTGCCAGTCAGAGGTCATCACCATTGTGTAGAGATCGTGAATTCACACGGTACACATGAAAAGGGAGCTGAGCTGTATCGGTCTGGTAAGAAAATTGCTTTTATTTTATTATTTTTACCTCCGATTTTTAAATTTAGGAGGTAATTAGGACTACAATTACAACAAAATTTATCAAAGCCACCGTCCAATATTGTTCCGGTCCGGGAAAGTGTGATTTTGGACACATTTTAGTTGTTGTTTACCTACCTCTCCGTGGGACCCTATGGGTGCCGTTTAAGGCTCCCTCGAATAATATCATAAAAAACATTTCGAGGGATCCCTTAAGGCTAGTTGAAACGGGTGTCTGACCGAATACTGGGAATGGACCGAATACTGGGCGCGCTACCCTAAATCCTCATCAATTGTTCAATAATGGTTATGATTTAAAAGTTGTTATGTTTCTTACCTGTTTCGTGTCAATTTTCTTATCTTTTTTGGAGTATTTTTCCTAAAAACAAAGACTTAGATCTAGACCTAGATCTATAATATAGACTTTCTCACAGGATTCATGGCAAACTGCTACACAATACAATTGCATACCGTACCGACGGTAGGGTGTGGGTGCGCGTTTGTGTTAAGTTAGCGACTGTAATTTTAAGCAATTGATCAATACTAATTAGGGCTGCGACGTATAGTCGAATGCTCGAGTACCCGCACGGTTGACAACTACTCGGGTACGATTTCTCGTACCCGAATATTCGGCCGCAAAAAAAATAAATAAATAAAATAAAGAATAAAATCTGTCCAGGTCGACGCTTATCCGTGCCTGGGTGAGCGGCAGCCGCTGGCATGGTACTGTCGGTAAAAATGTTTCCCAACTCAAGCACTGTCAAACTCACCACTCAGAAACTGAGACCAAATGTCTGGATTTCTGTTTGGACTTGGAGGAAAATGGATTATTCTGCCATCTTTGGTTTTGAAAACAGCATTGTTCACTGTTATTATTATTATTAAATCGGGGCCTTCAACTGCAACTCGAAGTAAAATTGCATGCGTTTTTGGCAAAAGAACTGGGATGCTGCTCCAAAGGTATGGTGGTGGCAAAAAAACAACAAAAAAATACCCAAAAAATTCGAAAAAATTAAAAAAAAATTCAAAAAAATTCAAAAAAATTATAAAAAAACATGGCGTCCGAATATTAGAGTATTCGCTTGTAAGCCTGGGAGTGTACTCGGGTACCTCATTACACTGTTGTGCACAGCCTTAATACTAATGCTATTAGTTATTAGGATCTACTAAGATGTTTCCAGAGATCGGCAATGGTAGCACATCATAAGTTCATTGTTGTTTAGAGCTCGGGTTTCAAACGTCGTTTAAAATGATAAAAACGTAAATTCCCCTTTGACTACGACTTCTTGATTTTGCGCCCCACTCCGACTGACCTCAAGCGCCACACGTGACGTGCGCGCCGCCAGTTGAGAAGGCCCGCTTTAAAGGCTGGGGTTGTCAATTTCCAGAAAGTCTTAATTCGCCGAAACCAGCCTTGATGGAAATACTAATTACTATTAATGGGTGTACACTGTTTTACAAGTCTGCACACAGCAAACCCTTAGGCTAATCAAGAAATACCCTTTTGTCTCTCAGAGGGTGCGTTTGTAGTGCATTTTTTTGCCTAGAATCAGCGTTTTCAAACGTCTTTCAGGCAAATTTTTAAGGTGATCACTGCAACGCAAAGCCTTTTTCAAATGCCTTTAGATATATGGGTATATTGAAATGCCTACAAAAAGTGCGTTTTGAATGTGACATACAGCCAGAATCACGTTTCTGAGAGATGATAAACGCAAAGCTGTTTTGAACCACACATACGAATTTTGCTTCAATGAAAAATTACATGAAATGAAACGGATCTTACGACGCCTTGAGCGACGTTGGATTGCGTCTAAATTAGAAGTTGACAGACAAATTTTCAAAAACCAATGTTATGAATATAATCGCATGATCAAACCAATCTGAACAAAACCATCATTCAAAACAATTTGAAGGCTGTAATTCAAAGCAGCTATTTCAAAAAGTCAACAAATTGTGTACACCAAAAGTATCCAAGGTGTTACCTTCTGTCGATTCTGATCTTTTACTTGCTGAACGTTTTTCTGCCTTTTTTACAGACAAAATTCGGAGTATCAAAAATGTTCTTAACCCTAATAAGGCCGGGCTATTTGAAGTCTTAGTAGGGCCGGGGGGGGGGGCCATTATGGCCCCCCCTCAAGATCTCGGCCGCGAAGCGACCGATCGCCGAGAAAATTTGCACACATGTCAAGTGAAGTGTAAAGAATAATATGATCATTTCAATTTTTTGAAAAATTCACTCATTTGCATATTTATGGTAATTTATGCAAATAAAGTCATAAAAATCACATTTTTACCAATAAATCATATATTATTCATATTTAAGCATTCTTTTTCACTAGATATATTCATTAGACCATTCTGAATAATAATAAGACAAAAAATTTGGAAGAGCCAGCTTATTTCTTATGTTATCCCTTGTTTTGATAATTTCTTATGTATTTCATTGTTTTTTTAACTTATGTATTTCATTGTTTTTGTTGTTATGCCTCCGCCACCGAAGGTGGTGCCGGAGGCATCATGTTTTCGGGTTGTCCGTCCGTACGTCCGTACGTCCGTCCGTACGTCCGTACGTCCGTCCGTACGTCCGTCCGTCCGTACGTCCGTCCGTCCGTCCCGTTTGACCGTTATCACAATATCTCAAGAACCATTTAAGATTTAAACTTAAGACTCGGGAATAGTATTTATCACCATAGGAAGACGATCTGATTAGATTTTGGAGTACGTAGGTCAAAGGTCACAGGTCACAGAGGTCAACTTATGAAATTCCTTGTATTGAGTTTGTTAGCGCGATATCTCAAGAACCATTTGAGATTTAAACTTAAAACTTAAGGATAGTATGTATCACCATAGGAAGACGATCTGATTAGATTTTGGAGCACGTATGTCAAAGGTCAAGGGTCACAGAGGTCAACTTATGAAATTCCATACATTGAGATTGTTATCATGATATCTCAAGAACCACTGGAGATTTAAACTTCAAACTTAGTGATAGTGTGTATCACTATAGGAAAACAATCTGATTACATTTTGGAGCACGTAGGTCAAAGGTCAAAGGTCACAGGGCTCATTATGTATGCAAAAACAGCTTGTGATCGCGTTATCTGAACAACCGATTGATGGATTCCTGCCAAACTTTGGTCATGTATGTATCTTGCAGAGCTGATGAACTGATTAGATTTTGGGGTCACGAGGTCAAAGGTCAAAGGTCACAGGGCTCATTATGTATGCAAAAACAGCTTGTGATCGCGTTATCTGAAGAACCGATTGATGGATTCCTGCCAAACTTTGGTCATGTATGTATCTTGCAAAGCCAATGAACTGATTAGATTTTGGGGTCACGAGGTCAAAGGTCACAGCGCACATTATGTATGCAAAAACAGCTCGTGATCGCGTTATCTGAACAACCGATTGATGGATTCCTGCCAAACTTTGGTCATGTATGTTACTTGCAGAGCTGATGAACTGATTAGATTTTGGGGTCATGAGGTAAAGGTCAAGGTCATGCGGCTCATTATGTATGCAAAAATAGCTTGTGATCGTATTATCATTAGAACAGATTGATGGATTCCTGCCAAACTAAGATCATTTATGTATCTTGCAGAGCCAATGAATGGTTCATAAGATCAAAGGTCATGGGCTCATTATGTATGCAAAAATAGCTTGTGGACGCATTCTCATTAGAACTGACAGATGGATTACTATTTAACTCAGGAAATCTTGCAGAGCCAATGAACTGAGTAGATTTTAGGGTCATGAGGTCAAAGATCAAAGGGTCATATATGTTTATGAGAAATTGCTTGTAATCACGATATTCTGAGAACATGTTAATGGATTACAATTGAACTTGAATTTGAAAAATTTCTTCCGTTTCGGTTTGTAAAATTGCTCTATGACGGAGGCATCATTTTCGACTGCGCGCAGTCGAATTCCATCTAGTTTTATTTTATCTTTTACTACAATTCAACTATTTTGACTCCCAAAACAACCACCTAAGCTTTAAACAAGACCCAATAACCCATGTTTGATCTGCTTTTAGGAAAAATGACTTTGCCATACGTTTTGTACACAAATCACGAAAATGAGCGATTTTCAGGCTGACATGCGAAGACAAAAGGTCACGTGACCTTGTAACCGTAGGTCCGATTTTCAAAAAAATTATTTTAAAAGTTGCGCAAGACTCGAAAGAAAAAAGTCAGCGAGCGGCGGGGCGCCATCCATATGCGTTCCCGAGCAATCGAAAAAATTGTGGAGGGGGGGGGGCCATAATGGCCCCCCCCCCCCCGGCCTTATTAGGGTTAAGGATTCATCAAAAACGGATGTTTCCATATGATTTTTCACCAGTATCAGAGGATACTGTCAGAGTTATAATAATGAAATCTCCATCAACTTCATGTAGTCTCGATCCAATGCCGACATGGCTGCTTAAGAACTGTTTAAATGAGCTTTTACCAGTCATTACCAAAATTATAAACATGTTTATTCAAAGTGGTCAATTTCCTGATGTTTTGAAATTGGCACAAATCACTCCTCTTTTGAAGAAACCAAATTTGGATTGTGAAATTTTGAAAAACTATCGGCCTGTTGCCAACCTTAAGTTTCTTGCTAAAACAATTGAACGCGCTTGTGCTTCTCAAATTCAGGGCTATCTATCCCGGGTATCTATCATCAAACAATCTGTGTAGTAAAATGCAATCTGCTTTTATAGATCTTCTCATAGTGTTGAAACTGCTCTTTTACGTGTATATAATGATTTGTTATTAGCTGTGGACCAAGGTGATGAAGCTGTTTTAATACTTTTAGACTATTCTGCAGCTTTCGATACTATCAGTCATGATGTTTTTCTTGATCGCTTACGTAATAGATATGGTGTATCAGGGACTGCCTTGAATTGGTTTAAAACATACTTTATGAATCGTTCACAATCTATTGTCATTAATGACTCATTATCCAAACCTCATGTTCCACTTGAAGGTGTTCCTCAGGGATCCGTCATCGGCCCTTTATCATTTACTCTGTATACTGCACCACTTGAAGATATTATTGAAGCGCATGGTTTAGGCCGAATGATATATGCAGATGACACCCAAGTTTATGTTGTTTTGAAATGTGATTCCGACCATTCTGTTATAACTAAACTTGAAAGATGTATAAATGATATCAAAGCTTTGTCCACTGCTAATGATTTGAAGTTAAATGAGGATAAAACTGAGGTTATACATGTAACATCTCGATTCAGAAAGTCCTCCCATTTACCATCTGTCGAAATTGCTAATGTTCCGATACAACCTGTCAAAAGTGCACGTAACCTTGGTGTCATCTTTGAAAATGATCTTAGGATGGATGATTATATAAAATATATTTGTCGCTCAGCTTCATATGCCTTGTACAAGATAGGTCGTATTAGAAATTTTCTTGATCAAAAATCTACCGAAACGCTTATACATGCATTTATTACATGCTGCTTGATCAATGCAATAGCCTTCTTTATGGCCTTCCGCACTCGCACATTGCAAATCTCTAGAGAATCCAAAACTCTGCTGCCAGACTTGTAACATGCACACGTTCTTGTGAACACATCACCCCAGTACTTCGCGAATTGCATTGGTTGCCGGTGACGTACCGCATTATGTACAAAATCTTAGTTTTAACTTATAAATGCATTCATGAATTGGCACCAATTTATCTGCAAGAATTAATCGAGGAATACAAACCCTCACGCAGTTTACGGTCATCTTCACAATTAAACCTTGTATCTACTTCTGTGTCAACTCTTTCTTATGGTAATCGCTCCTTTCGCAAAGCTTCTGCTGAACTTTGGAACAGATTACCTTTAAATGTAAAAAACTGTCAAACCATTAAGCTATTCAAAACTAGTATCAAGACACATTTATTCAAAATTGCGTTCGATGATTAATTAACTCTGTTCACTTTGATGTGTATTCCATATGTATTGTAATTTGTATGTTTATTTACATTTTTAGTTTTGTATAAGATGTAATTGTATATCAGTCTATTTTGTGTGTATAGCGCTTAGAGACTTCGGTGGTAAGCGCTTTATAAGTAACGTTTTTATTATTATTTATTATTATTATGATAGCCCACTTTTATGTGTCTTCAAAATTTGCTTTTCCACAAAGTGTACCATCAGTTTTAATGGAGGTTTGTAATCTACTGTTTTTTCACTCTCTTCACTCTCTTTCTGTCTCTTTCTTGCAGTGGCTGTCAGATCGGAAGAAAAGAGCACTTCAAAAATCTGATCATGGTAGGGTTTGGTATCAATTCATAACAAAATACTAATGAATATCATAACTGTCAATACTGACAACCTTTTGCTCCCATGGGTTGTAACTGACAAGAGTTTCTCTTGAACCTTAGCTGTGATGCGCTGTGTTTTTATGTAATTACTGATACAACATTTTTTGGCTCTTGTTTGCAAAAAAGTGAAAATTGTGTTAGATCTACTTACAGTTACTAAAAGTATTATTTTCAGATTGTATTTAAAGGAATGTCATAAAACTTTGTATTCCTTCAAACTAACAATGTAACAAATTTAGACTGTTACGAGTTTCTACTTTTGAGATAATAACAGTCAAGTACCAATATAAAAAAATATAAAAAATCTGGTACCTGGCAAAAATTTTCTTGAAATGCAAGGTGCATTGATAATGACTGATATAGCTAAAGCCAGGATAAGAAGTGAGAATTCTTAAAGCACTTAGGAAGTATATGATATTGCCATGTAGGAGTTGCAGCTGAGAAGTTATTAACTTTATTATCTATACATTCTACCTTTGTTTGTTTGTGCCGTAGATGTTCAAAAGCGCATACAACTCATCCAAGACTTTGAGATGCCGACAGTCAGTGGGTGCATCCAAGTTTCCCCAGATGGACAGTATATTCTGGCCACAGGTGAGTGTAAATATGTGACCAAATACAGTAGCATTGGGGGAGGGGGGCATGGGGCATCCGGGCATGTGCAAGTGGGGAAAAAAGAGAGAAAGAAAGGGAGAGAAGAAAAGAAATTGCCCAAAAGAGGGTAGTTCAACCACGTCCCATTTGATAGCTTTGTTCAATCATAGCTCATTATTATGTCTGGTGCTCCCCCCCCCCCTCTCATGAAGCCAGTGGCACCCTATGTCACATACCCTTCAAGGTCATGTTCACTTTTGGTAAGCCCTCAAAAACTTTTTCCAAAAATTTCTTTGATAATAGATGATAGATTGGGAGATACTGCAATACTGAGCTGCTTCTAAAGTTTTTTCCCTCGTCAGGTGAAAAATTAATTAGGTGGAGAATAATTTAGATACCATTCGGGGACGCTAATGTGGTTAGATTAGCAAGTGTGCGCTTGTAAAAAAGACGCCTGGCTGGAATGCTCCCCAGGGAGTGGAGAATGTGCATACATTGTGTGCGGGTAAGCCTGAATCCTATGACCGGGGTAATAATATAACTATCTGTAAAGCGCTTTGAGAGGACCTTCGGTCCTGAAAAGCGCTATATAAGAACTAGCTATTATTATTAATTCCAATAACATGCAATTGGCAATACACATACCGTATTTGCCGGCGTAAAGGCCGCAGTATTTTTGGAAGAGAAAATATCAAAAAGTTGGGGTGCGGCCTATGCGGCGAAAGAGTAAAAAAAAAAAAAGTATGTCAAAACCAGCACGAATTTGCACTTATGGGACTACGAACGGTACAATAACTATACCACTATGGTACAGGACATTTCCACACATCTTACCGACAATTTTATCTTGCATTGTTGACATGAAGAAGAAAATAAACTTCCAAAAACAACATCTGCCGATAGATCTTGATCTAAGTTTGTGCCAATGTATTGCAAAAGTAAAAGAAGAACCCGTTTAAACCGAGCTGCCGCGAAACATCCAGCACGCGATTTTGAATCCATTTCAATACACAAGAGCTATGGCGCAATACACAAGAGAGAGGCGCAATGTATACATCAAAGGAAACTGCAGGTGATAGCATCAGTGCGGGATGGCCGAGCGGTCTAAGGCGGTGATTTTAGTCACATCAACATTTATACGCAAGAGATGAAATCCCGTCAAAAAGTTCGACAAAAGTTTTTTTTTTTTTTTTTTTTTTTTTTTAAATGTCAAAATCGGGGGTGCGGCCAATGCGGCGCTGCGGTCTTATCACCGGCAAATATGGTATGTAATACTGTGGTATGTAGTACTGTGTGTCTGGTTCGATCGGGGATTTATCAGACCTGCAAACCAGTACGATTTAATCATATTTTGTATGATTTTTAATGGTAAATACGACAGTACGATTTTCCAAACAATTTTTTTATAATTTTTAATTTAGTGTGTTTTTCAATGGCAAAATGCCCATTCTGTCCTGTAAAGTATCCTACAAGCATCTCACATCGGCAATTGTGGGATGTTCATTGGTTCATCGAACACACCAGTCATGACGAAATCATGCATATTCAACCAATGATCTATAAAAATATCTTCCTGTATGTATGAACTGTAAGAGGCATTGATCCATATATATTTTAAAATACAATTTTTGTCAGTAAAATACAATTTTTGTCAGTAAAATACAACTTTTGGGATTAAAGAATACAGTTTTTGAACTCCAGAGGTTGGCAGGTCTGGTTTATATGCCCTTGGGTAGGATCCACTGCACCAGTCAGATGGATTTCTGATTGGTTTATTAGCTAAAGGTGTATTCTGATTGGTCAGAAGTGCCGCCTGGGGGGAGCAGTGTCTGTATCAAGTATAGTGAGTCAGATGTTGCTGATCTAGAGGCCACTGTCAATGGGAACAGTGCTGTGTTGGTTGAATACATGATGTTGCCTCAAACCTCGCTCAAATCTATCCTCACCAAGGAAGCCTTCAAAGATTACTTTTTTTCTTCTTCTAAATAACAGGTACCTACAAGCCTAGAGTGAGATGTTATGACGTCAACCATCTCTCCATGAAATTTGAAAGATGTATGGATTCAGAAGGTATGTTTGTTCCTGCAACAATTGCTCTGCATTTTCTACACTAACTGAATCCCTAACTTAAAGTCACATGGATTGGAAAAGAAGACCAACTAACTGAATCCCCTACTGAAAGTTACATGCAGTCATAACAATGGTTTCCTCACAACAACAAAAAATATTTTGGTAATGCATTCAGATAAATGGATATTCTTTCATGACGTACTGTGACATGATGTTTGGTTCACTTTAGCAGTTTCTTTTTGTTAAGCTGTCTAACTTGAACCCTTTACTTAAAGTCACATGAATTGGAAAATAAGACATTTGGTTTATAGTTATTTAGTTACCGGTAATTCTTTTCTCTTTTTCATCCATGTGACTCTCTTCAAACACTTTAGTATTAGTTTTGTTATTGTTATTTTGTATTTACTGCTTTCCTGAATTTGTCTTTGCTGAATAATCCCGGACCTAACACTAACACCTGAAAACCCAATTTCAACCATAATGTTAACCATGTACCTTTGGCAGAATAAAGCCTCGTCAAAATAGTCACCATACCAAATGTGATTTTGGTCTGTGGCTTTGGGCTGTCGGGGGGCGGGGGGGGGGGGAAGAATGTTATAGTTGGTTCTTTTATTAAATGTACAGAAAATGATTTACAGTGGAACAATATCTCACATTCCATCAGAGAATTAAACTCTCTCCTCTTTCAAAAGATCCCTTAAAACTGACTTCTTCCTCAGTAATTTAATGTGAATCACCTATTTTTATAAGTATTATGTATTTTATGTTTCTCCTTCACATTCTGTAATTTTATATATTATTATTGCTATTGTCATTATTATCATTATTATTATTACTTTTGCCACGATTATTATTATTATCAATATGAAATGTGGCACCATGACACTATATATCTGTTATTTTCTCTCTTTCTCCTCCTTGTACATTTACAGTTGTCAAGTTTCATGTCATGTCAGAAGACTATTCCAAGGTTAGTTATTCATAAAGGCAAGTTATTTGAAAAAGTAAATAAAGTTGGAAAATAATACTGAATTTAAACTGAAGTAAAATCATTTCGCGACCAATATTATTCAGTTTTGGGGCTTGTGTTACGTCATTCAATTGTGTCTTGCCTGTTTTAGGTACTGTTGACTTTTAATGAGGTCTCTATTTTTCGTGAAATGATGTGGAGAAATGTCATACTCACAATTTTCAATATCTTCTTCCCCCCCCCCCCCCCCACTCTCTCTCTCTCTCTCTCTCTCTCTCTCTCTTTCTCTCTCTAATCTCTCTCCCCCTTTCTCACTCCCTCTTTTCCTTTCTCTCATCTTCTCTCCCCCCTCTCTCTCTCTCTCTCTCTCTCTCTCCTATCTCTCCCTCTCTCCTCTTTCTCCTTTCCCTCTCTCTCTCTCTCTCTCATCCTCCCTCAAGTTCTTGGGAAGGATTTTTGCCCCAGAGCACAGAAGGGGTTAGTTTACATACTGTGGGTTTACATCAATTCAACAGTAATGAAGGGAAACAAATATGATCTCTTGACATTTTCCCATGTGTTTGCTTACCCAGCTTGTATTCCTGCAGTGTGATCGCTACGTGGAGTTTCACGCCAAGTATGGTCGCTACCATCGGCTCAGGATACCTAAGTTTGGGCGCGACCTCACCTACCACAAACCGACATGTGACCTTTTTCTTGTTGGTGTCAGGTGAGAAAATGTTTTGTATGTATGTCATTTTATCTGTATGTACCAGTGTTGTAGTCAAGTCCACAACTTTAAAAGGGCAAGGCCGTTTCTGAGTCACTACCTTATATTCCAAGTGGAACCATATTTTCGAAATAGATGTTTTTAGTATTGAATTATCAATTAATCAATCAGATATCACTGAACCAGTATAATGATCGATAAAGGACAATTATGCATAATATTTGAAGAAAAAAAACACAGAAAAACACATGGAAGATGAAAGTCAGTCCTGCGGAATAAGCCAGTATTTTGCAGCCGTAAACCAGCCTTGGCTCGAGTTACCAAGGCTGAATCGCCTGCATCCAAGTCACAGCATAGCAAGCCTAACGCTGGCAAAAGTCCTCCAACACTCTCAATTATTCAGACAATTATAATCAATACCTTTTGAAGAAATAACAATAATATTGAAATTGAAAACTGCATTCAAAAAGGTACTGTCTAGAAACCAACAGAAGATGTGTATGTAGCAAGGAAATTACTTACCTTGAAAGTGTTATAGTAGATAGATATTGCATGAGGCAGAGACAGGGCATAAAGCCACTTTGAATTTGGATTATACATTCATAAATGAACCAAGACCAATTTAGAAATGGTCCATGATCAGCTGTTATTTGTTTCCTGTCTTAACAAAACTTCTGCCCATTTTGTTTTCACAGTCCTGAAATATATCGAATCAACTTGGAACAGGGTCGGTTCCTGAGTCCTTTTGTCTCTGATTCAGTGTAAGTATAGAAATATTTAGGAAATTGTGAAACAGATGCACTACCTTGTGCTATAAATCTGAGATGAATTGATGATGGGTACAAAATATATACAGTCAAATTTCCTTTAGTGACCATCAAATTATTACCTATTCAGAATGACCACACCTTTGTTTTCTTCTCGTTTTTGTTTCTTCTTCGACAGCATTTCACATTGAAACTTGGATTAAATGAACATGTACCTAAGTCGTGGCTCCACAATTTTTGTTTTTCTTTTTCACATGGGGTCTTCATTGTAACTTTGTAGGGTGAAACCCCTATTTATAATGGTAGGTATTTTAAGGGGTTTGGAGTATTAAACAAAGGGATCCATGTGAACCAGACTACTATTCTGCTGAAGAACTATCTGAATATAAAGACCACCTTCATTGTCTCCTTGGGTGGTCTTTATATACAGGTTTCACTGTTTTCAGAGCCATCAATACATGTTCAGTATCCCCAGACTGTAGGGACCATTGCAGGCAGAGTCGAAGGATCACCTGCCTATAAAGATCAATTTGCTTGTGTCTACCTTGAGTGGTCTCTATATACAGGTTTCACTTTATCCCTAAATTCTTCTTATTCACAGAGCCATCAATACATGCTCAGTAAACCCAATTCATCAGCTGCTGGCTGTAGGGACCATTGAGGGGCGAGTGGAGTGCTGGGATCCACGGACGAGGAGGAAAGCAGGGGTGCTTGATTGTGCCCTTAGTAGCATTACACCCCAAACACAGTTAGTATTCAACTTAATCTCTCTTTGCATGATGATGCCTAATTGCTGATATTATAGTTTACCTTAGAGTATATATATGAATTTAAAGGATAAAATGGAAAATGTGAGTAAATAAGGGAATTCTGTTCATATTCCTCTCTTCTCGTTTTCTTTTCGTCTCTTTCTCATCTTTTGGTTTCATTTTTCTCTCGCTCCCTGTCTCATCCATTCCTTATTTCCCTCTTTGTGTTTGTTTTCTTCCTTTTTCTCTCTTTTTCTTTCTATATTTTGTCTTTTCATCTTTTACTCTACATCCATATACCCTTAGTACTTGTAGTGCTTTTTTTTCTTCTTACTAATTAGTAGCCATGCTATTTGTTGTCTACCATATCCACATGCACTGATATGTTGCAATAGCATTGCTACAGAAGATTTCTGGTATAATTTTTGTCATTATATGATGTATCTTTCTGATTTCTTTCTTTGAATGTTAATACAGGGTGAAAGGGGTGCCTGCTGTCACATCTTTAGCATTCAATGGGGCTATGAGGATGGCTGTAGGAACCTCAACAGGCCAGGTAACTCCATCTCATTCAGTCTCATAATTACTTTCTGTATGTTATACATGTACGCGTATGAAAAATAATCTGGATTTATAAAGCACTTGATACAAAATACCGTCTCTCAGCGCTAAACAGATATTATTACCCTGGTCTTAGTATTCACGCATTGAGCACCATCTCCACTCCCTGGGGAGTATTCCTACCATAAGGTCATTGTGTAAGCATATGGCAATTGCTGACACAAAGGCTTTCGTTATCCTAAAAGTTTCCCATTTCTCTTCTGGGTATGGAGTGGCAAATGTAGATTCATGCCTTGCCAAAGGACCTAAATTTAGTGCCATGTTTGGGATCAAACCCACGACCTTTTGAATTTTAAGTCCGGTGCTTAAACCACTTGACTATGACACCAACACATGTACATGTATGTTGTATTCATTAATACAATGAATAGATACATGTATAACCTATATACATGTATCACACAGGAAGCTTTTCACTTTCACTTTCATTCTTAATATTGAATAGTATTTGTACTTACTTTAAAGGGACTTAGTAACATTGTTCAGATGAGAGAAAATTGTGCTAAGGTAGTGACTTTAATGCTAGAGGTACAATTAAAGATGATTTGACAGTTTGAGTGAAAACAGACCAACAGGTTAGGAAAATTCAAAAATGTTTGGGAGAATTTACTGTTAGAGGGTGTCGCACAGTGACGCCTTAAAAGAGAACCATAAATAACTTTGTGGTTTGAGAATTTTTTCAGGATTTTTTGCATGTTAGAGGGTTAGTACAGTAGAAGGAATATAATAAGTAACATTATATACAAAAATTACACAGTTTTTTCATCAACCTTCAGAGTCACTTTATAGGGTAATTCCAGAAACATTTGTCCATCATTTGCACATATATGGTCATGCACTCTAAGTAAGTCTTATGCTTTTAACAAGTAATGGGGATGTATTGTATATGTATCCAAATTATCGCAAAGGTACAGTTAACAGCTGAATTATTCATGCCCCTTGTAAATATTTTTTTTTTCCTTCTTTTTCATAAATAAAAAATAAAAGGTAGACTGGTTGAATTGGGTCATTTTGGGAATGCTTTAATATGTCACATTTTCAAGAAACAAATCTGGACAAATCAATTTTTCACAATTGAAAAGTTGCCAAAACTTTGTAAGGGTATGAATGAATTAGTTGTTAACTGTAGTTATCTCGTTGCTATTTGGGAGTAATTTTTACAGGTACGTGTATAGTTGGCCAGGGATATTGTAATTGTCCAGGAGGGGGGCAGGGGGGGGGGGCTAATTGTTGGAAAGGGGGAGGTGAGAGGGCAGTCATCCTATTATACATTATGCAATTAATGTGAAAGCGCTCAACATTATTTAGGAACAATAATGTTTAGCTGCCACTCGTACAATCTTCCCTTCTCTGTCTTGTTTGCTAGGTACTGATGTATGATATCCGTTCCAATAAACCCATGCTGGTCAAGGACCATAGGAACGGTCTAGCCATCCGAAGCCTAGAGTTCAGCCCAGCCACAGAGATGGTCGTCTCTGCAGACAGTAGGGCTGCAAAGATATGGAGTCAGTCAGATGTAAGTTTGTTTGTTTGTCTGTTTATTTGTTTGACCCGACTGCTAAGAAAGCATGTGTATGCTTGTATTAAAGTAAGCGATCAGGGGACCGTAATTAGGGTTAATGCCTTACCAAGGGCACTAACACATCAAATTGGTTTTAAACCCGGGACCTCCCAGTTATGAGACCACTGCTCTACGTCTACCACTGAGCCAAGTAGCCAACCAATCTACCAATCAGCTCTCAATAACATCAGAAAAAGGGGACCATGTACATATATATACAGGTGTATATGTATATTCATATATAAATAAATATACAGTCGAACCTGCTTTAGTCTACAAAGACAACATTTTTTGTTTCCCTTGAAAATAGTTTCCCATTGAAACATGTACTATAGGCACATGTCTACAAAGACCACCTTCCTATAAAGACCACTTTTCTTGTCTCCATTGACAGGATTTACTGTATATAATTTACCTAGTAAGTTTAATTTCTTTTGTTATTTAATTTGATGTTATGTTTTCCATGTCAGGGGCCTCATTTACAAGTACAAGTTGCTTCTTGATGGTAGTAGCCTATTATGTATTCTGTATATATGATTTGTAATTTTGTTATGATGCCAAATAAATTTAATTAAATTTTTGACTACAGGGGAAACCATACGTGACGGTTGAGGCTGAGCATGACTTCAATGATGTATGCTTGGTTCCAAACTCAGGACTTATGCTGATGGCTTGTGAAGAACCAAAACTTCTCTCCTACTTCATTCCAGTAAGTATCCTCTCTTGTTGTGCAAAGCTTCTCTCCTACTTCATTCCAGTAAGTATCCTCTCTGGTTGTGCAAAGCTTCTCTCCTACTTCATTCCAGTAAGTATCCTCTCTTGTTGTGCAAAGCTTCTCTCCTACTTCATTCCAGTAAGTATCCTCTCTTGTTGTGCAAAGCTTCTCTCCTACTTCATTCCAGTAAGTATCCTCTCTTGTTGTGCAAAGCTTCTCTCCTACTTCATTCCAGTAAGTATCCTCTCTGGTTGTGCAAAGCTTCTCTCCTACTTCATTCCAGTAAGTATCCTGTCTTGTTGTGCAAAGCTTCTCTCCTACTTCATTCCAGTAAGTATCCTCTCTTGTTGTGCAAAGCTTCTCTCCTACTTCATTCCAGTAAGTATCCTCTCTTGTTGTCTATTACAAGGAGGGGGAGGGAGGATGACTCAAAATTGTTTGTTTGAGTGGTTGCCAACTTAATTCTTTGAATTGAATTGAATTCATTCACCACTTTGATAAAAAAAACATGCAAAGTCAAAGAATACAATAAAATATCACTTACAAGTAAAGATAATCCAATAAAATGGAAAATACACTAAAGGTTATCACAAAGTGGTTTGATCATCAAAAAGTTACAGAAACTTATAAGTAGATGATCCTAAACAAAATGCATTAATGAACACAAATAAAAAGGGACAAAGAAATCATACAATGATAATTGCAGACTTAAAATAAGTTGCGGTTTTCAAATTCAAAGCTTCTGAGTTAAGTGAAGGTCAATCATGCAGGAATGGATTGTTGAATTCCAATCTATCAGGTTCTCTTAACCCTACAAAGCTAAAATTGAAATTAAGATACATGTACCGTCAAACCTGCTTTAAAGACCACATGTATAGAAAGACCACCTGTCTACAAAAACTACTTTATTTTATACATTTTATTGCTTCCCTTAAAAATGGTTTCTCACTGAAACACACACTAAAGGAACCTGTACATAAAGACCACCTGCCTATAAAGACTACTTTTCTTGTCTCCCTTGGATGGTCTTTATAGACAGGTTTCACTGTATAATCAAAATTGAAAATTCATGTAAAATGCGTGAACACCTTTTCATGGTAGCTCGACCTAATCCGGGGTAATAAAATGATTGCGGGGCTCTCAGGGAGAACAGTATCAATATTGATGAGGTCACTGTGGGCACACAAGGCATATCAGTATTAGTATTATTAATTAAGTATTTGGTGAATCATCAAATTGCTATTTCATGTATGTGTAGGATGGGGTTTAATGTTAGATATGTTATCTTGTTTACTTATTCCTTCATGATGATAGAATGTATAATGTAAAAAGAAAAGAATACTTTCATGCTTGTGTTGTTGTCTTTTGTTAGGGTCTTGGACAAGCTCCTAAGTGGTGTTCGTTCCTGGATAGTTTGACCGAGGAGCTGGAGGAGAACCCTACATCTGCTGTCTATGATGATTACAAGTTTGTCACCAAGACGGAGCTTGAAAGCTTAGGTATGTACTTGGCTTTGTGGCAAGTTGTCGTGTAGTGTTCATTAACTACGATGATGAGTAAGCAAACATGATTTGAGGATCGCTTTACCTGACTGCTAAGAAATCATGTGTATGCTTGTAAGTAAGCAACCAGGTGACCAACGGCTTTTAGGTCCTCTCCGAGAGACTTTTTTTTTTTTTTTTTCCTGACTGCTAAGAAAGCATGTGTATGCTTGTAAGTAAGCAACCAGGGACTTGATAATGAGGATTAAAGCCTAACCAAAGAGCATGAGTGCGTTGACTTGGTTTTGAACCAGAGACCTTCCGGTTACGAGAACACTGCTCTACTACTCCTCCATCACGCCTTCTCCCTCTCTTTCTTTCTCTCTGTAGATCAGTCTGTATGTCTATCTCTCCTTTCCTTTTGAGCTCCATGTTTGAAGGCTGTCTCCTCTTCCTTTAATTCATTCTTTCTCTTCCCCCTCTTTCTTTCCTCCTCCCCCACCCAATGTGTTTCTGTATCGCACAGACCCCCCCCCCCCCTCTCTATCAGTGTTTTTGTCATCTCTGTCTCTCCCTCCCTCTATCTCCTTTCCTTTAGATCTGTTTGTCTCTCTTCATCTGTCTCTCTTTATTTCATTCTCTTTTTCTCTCATTTAGTTTCTCTTTTGTGATTCAATCAATATTTACCCTCTTCCTTGCTTTCCCCAGGTTTAAGTCATCTAATCGGTACCTCCCTGCTCCGAGCTTACATGCATGGCTACTTCATGGACATCAGGTTATACCACAAGGCCAAGTCTATCGCTGATCCCTTCGCATACCAAGAGTACAGGAAAAACAAGATTAAGGAGAAGATTGAGGAGCAGCGAACAAGCCGTGTCAAAGTCAAGGTAATGATGATGATGATTCTGGTGATGATGATGATGATGATGATGCTGATGGTGGTGGTGGTGGTGGTGGTGGTGGTGGTGGTGGTGGTGGTGGTGGTGGTGGTGGTGGTGGTGGTGGTGGTGGTGGTGGTGGTGGTGGTGGTGGTGGTGGTGGTGGTGGTGGTGGTGGTGGTGGTGGTGGTGGTGGTGGTGGTGGTGGTGGTGGTGGTGGTGGTGGTGGTGGTGGTGGTGGTGGTGGTGGTGGTGGTGGTGGTGGTGGTGGTGGTGGTGGTGGTGGTGGTGGTGGCGGCGGCGGCGGTGGTGGTGACGATGATGATGATATTTTTATAGCGCACTTATCCATCATGCAAGATGCTCAAGGCACTCCAATAATACCCTTCTGCTTGGCTACTGAATTAGGAATTCCTTCCTATCGATACCCAATTAACACCTTAGTGGAGAGTGGCAAGTGTAAATTAATGTCTTGCCAAATGACATTAATAATTGATGATTGCTACACAAAATAATGATTGCCCTTGTGATAATTATTACTTCAATGAAATATGTTTGAAAATTGAAGTTCTGATATAAATTTATATGCAGTAGTGGTACTTTAAATGGGTTGAGGAATTTGAATTGATTTGAGGTTTGTACAAACATTTTATACGCTATTCACATTTTCTTGAATGAATAATGTGAAATGGAAGAATGAAAAAAAATAATCCAATATTTTATTACAAACAAGAACCTCTGATGTTCTTGATCCAAAAAAATATATTTTTTAAATTTTATTAACATAATCCTGTTTAAATGGCATAGGATCTGAGTCTGGTTTAGTGCTGAAAAGTTTCAAAAGATATGTAGAAAATTAAAAAAAACTAAAAACATAAGAATTGCCATCTGGACGATTCCAGATTGGTTTTAGTGACCTTTAAAAAAACCTGTATCATGCATAATATGTGTTATTGACAGTCGTGTGACTTGAAAGTTTATAATTTGTATCATACCGTGTACAGTGTGTTTGTCCCAGTTATGTCCATTTCAAACAATGTGCATGTAATCTCCATTGAATAATGATATCATGTTTTCATTTCAGAAACTGCCGTCAGTCAACGCAGCCCTGGCAGAGAAACTCCAAGATGAACAACTGTCAGAGAAAGCAAAGAAGGCAAAGAAAGAGGTACAGTAAACAAATCTCTGATTCTAAGACACATATGCTCTGGTAACAATCCTCCCACACCATAGGTAGGAGTTACGCAAATATGACATGGAGGTTGCCTGAACATTGGTAATTTTAAAAGTCTTTGTTGTTTAAGTCTAAACAGGAAATAAGTTGTTTGATGATTGTTTCTCAGCACTATTCAAAGTTGGTGATCAGTGTGAAGGGATTAAATCAGGTGTAGATTGATTGTATTATTTTGATCATCACTTTTTCATTATTTTTGTGTTTATGTAGGGGGCAGCAAACATCTTGTCTGATGATCGTTTCTCAGCTCTCTTCAAGAACCCAGACTTCCAAGTTGATCAGGAGAGTGAAGAATTCAGGCTGGTACAGCCCCTGGTTAACAAACAGTCCAAGAAGAAAGAGAAGCCGGCCATCGTGGAACAGTTTGAGGAACTAGACCCACAGGTTTGTGCCCCCCCCCCCCCCCCTCTCCATACCTCCTCATCCGTATTGTGGCTTTCATTTCCTTTCTTAACCCCAGAAAGGCTGGTTTTGTGAGACATCATAAGGTCTTTGCTTGACACTCCTTATTGTCTCTTCATCCCTCTCTCTCTCTCTCTCTCTCTCTGGCTTCTATTTAGGTGGTCTGTCGTTTTCGACAGATCACCTATTGTTTTCGTCAGAATTTTCTTTCTTTATTATTTTTATTATTTCTTTATTTTTATTTATTTTACCCCTTTTTTGTTTACAAGATAACTCAAGATCGGTTCAATCAATTTCCTTCAATTTCGGCAAAGTCATAGGTCTTTGTCATGAGACGTGACAGTTTCAACATTTTCAAGGTCATCAAATTTTCATGACGTCATCGAGGCGCCATTTTGTGTTTTTGGGGTACTTTTTACTCATGATCATATCTTCTTAACGGAAAAGCATTTCTCATTCATATTTATCATGATTAAGGTCAATATCCGTCCGGTCAATTTCAGGTCAAAAAACGCGCGCGCACGCGTACGTCCGCGCGTCAGCGCGCGCGCAAAAAATTAAAATGCTCCAAATCATTTAAAATTAATTTTGCATACGTTTCAGGCCATTTTAAGCGTTTCGTAAAAAAAGCTCGCACGCGCGTAATGGTATTTGCCAACATAAAATCGCAAAATTTTCTCTGTCATCATATTTAGCACATTTTTCCAAGCATTTTGATACCTTGTTCACCTTATTCTGCCCATTAACGGAATGAGCGTCCGTTTAAGATAATGTCCGTGCGTGCGAGCTCTTGTAATACATAGCATACATGGGCAAAAACATGCCTATACAAAATCCATTGTAGCGCTTTAGGATGGAAGATGAACCCAATTTTTTTTCCATATTTTGATAGAGTATGAATTGGAGATATGATTTCATGTCTCATTTGACCCTCAATTAACTCATGACGTCATCATAATGGCCTCCCAACTCAAAATTTCAATTTGCATATTATGACGTCAGCATATTTCTGGAAAATTGACTGTATCTCTGTAAATATTGATCGATTTTCTTCCAAATTTTGATATGATCTAGCTGAGACAATTCGCTACAAATGCAGTCACCACATTATTTCATTTTGACAAAGGTATCATGGCGTATTCTTGCGATTAAAGGTGGCATGTCAATTTTTCACATTTTGCGTGTATTCTCTATGGGATATGACTTTTTCTCAAAACTGGATTTTACATTCTCGTCTTTGGCGAGCAATATCTCCGTCGTTTTATCTTTATTTACGCTGAGCTTTGAGTATGTTGTAGCTGAGACAATAAGCTATCACATGTGTGCCTTTTATTTTTCGATCAGATGCCGGGATCATGCTCATATTTCACTTACAAAGTGGGATTTGAATATTCTATTTTCCGTTTACGTGTAATCTCTATGGGAAATGTTTTGGTATATCGGTAACGCACTTGACTTCCGACCTCGAGGTCCCTGGTTCGAGTCCGGGCGTCTCCAACAATTTTTTTTCTTCACTTTTTTTGTTTTTGACCTTTCACTCTACCATCTCCTTTGAATATTAAAACACGTACAATCGCAAATAATGTAATAAACAACCATATTTACTTTATTATTACCCTATTATCACTTGATCCATTACTTTTTGCGTGTAATCCTTATGGGAGATGACTTTTTCTCAAATCTGGATTCTACATTCATGTCTTTTGCGAGCAATATCGCCGTTATTTCAGCTTAATTTTTGTTGATTTTTGAGTATGTTGTAGCTGAGACTATATGCTATCTAAATGTCCCCTCATTTTTTCAATCAGATGTCATCATGGTCTGTTGATGATGATGATCATCATCATCATGATCATCATCATGATCATCATTGTTTACATGCAGGGCTCAAATTAATTTTTTGTCCACGGGGGCTCTTCCAAAATAAAAAGCGCCCCCGTGAGCCTTCTCACGGGGGCTTTTTTAGTACAGACGGGGGCTCTTTTTCCATTGAATTGGTGGTACCCATGAAACTCCTAAATTATTTGCTATTTCATCATTATCATTAATAGTCGGCATTATTTCTCTTACAACTTTACAAGTTATAACATGCAGCTAATGGTCAGATCTTTTCCCTTTGTACGAAATTTCTGGTCCAAGCCCGTATACATACGTATTACTCAATCTGTATAGCGGATATGATCGTCGCAATGTAGTATAGTCAAATTGGAGTTTCCTTTGTTCGTTAGGACTAGTTCTCTTAAACATATACAAGTATTATATAATTTTATGAACACTCGTGAATGCCAGAGTGAAAAACCGTTGCAATCGACTGAACTTTAGCCTATTTTGTTAATTTTTTTTGTCGCGCCCATATCGCCTTTGTAGTTGATTAAAAGCTGAAATAAGGAAGTACTTGAGCTCGAAAATATATATCTTCACTGTTCTCACGCGGGGGTGATGTCGAAATAGAAACTTGGCCACAAAACACAACTACACTATTCAGAATAAATAGCAGAAAGGACAAAAGACATGAAGACCTTGTCAATCTTATTACACAAGTGTAATTAACACTCCTCTTCAGAAAAGTAGAGACCTAGACCAGACCCCCCCCCCCTCCCCTTATTTCGCGGAAGAAGAAAAAAAATGGTTTTAATGGTAATGGTTAACATAAAAACTCTGAGCTCATCCTGTTTTCTATTTAATTATTGATTTGATTTGATTTGATTTGATTTATTTCTGTTTGATTTTCTTTTTCTTTTGCATTTTTACAAATATATAACAAACAAATATTGCAAATTTACACATGACAAAAGAATATATGTAGAATAAGGTAAGGCTGGGTGTAACTAATCGAGAACATCAAACAGGAGGGTTGACAAAATAAGCAAAGCTTGATAGTATGACTACCCTCAAAGGATACATAATAATACAAATATGGAGGAACAAAATATTGGTAAAAAGGGGGAAAAGACAGAAAAAAGAAGAGAAAAGAGAGAGGGGATGCACATCAATATTCACAGACTTATGTGGTAGTTGGATTTCAAATTGATATATAAAGATTTTAAATAAGAAAAGAAATGCAAATTTGAATACTGAGTGGCCAACTTGGGATACAATAGAATGAGAAGACTCTCAAGGTTCGGACAGTAAGAATGTGAAAGTAAGATCAGCCAGCTGGTTTTAAACCTGGGCCTGCTAGTCAGAGCCTTGAAATGTTTGTATAGAAGACAGTGTTTATTCAGTATCCCAAGTAGGCCACTCTTTATTCATACGTGTATTCATACCAGGTCATGGAAGGTTATAATCAACGTTTCAATAAATGGAAGCAAAAAAGTAAACAGTACAGAAAATTATCGAGTTTTGTAACGATGGGTAAACGAGGAGAATTTATTTTGTTGATGGATTTAAAGATAATGAGCAATAAGAAACTTTTTCACCGCTCTTTTAAGGATAGCATTGTATTCATCGTTTTTATTTCAGGGGGTAGTGCATTCCAGGTATCAGGGCCAGAATGTCTAATTGAGTTTTGAGCTAAGGCTGTTTTGGCGTTAAATAGGTGATAGTCATTGGAATGCCTGGTTGGGTAGGAATCAAAATTAAAATTATGTTGGAATAAAATGACTAGTGATGGGGGAAGATTGCCGGATTTAAGTCGAAACATGAACACAGATTTTTGCATGTAGTGTATATCACTTATTTTTAGAGTTTTTAATGTGGCAAATAAAGGGTCAGTGTGGTCGCGATAACCTGCATCGGTACAAACTCGAATTGCTTTTTTCTGTAACAGTAATATACGATTAGTATTGCACTTATGAGTAGCCCATATGATATTGCAGTAAGAAATATATGGTAAAACCAGTGTATTATATAGCATACTAAGCACATGTGTTGGCAAAAAGTATTTTAGCTTAAATAGTATACCAATATTGCGAGAAATAGGGGTAGAGATATAATTCACATGATCATTCCAGTTACATTTTTCATTTATATATACACCTAATAATTTCGTTGATGACTTTTTTTCTATTGGAACATTATCGACAAGCAGCTCAAAGTTATAAATATTGTGATTTCTTGAGTTTCTAAAGTGAATACAATTGGTCTTCTTTAGGTTCAATGATAATATGTTGCTTTTGAACCATTTCGATAACTTAGGTAATTCAGTGTTCATGGTTGCGATCATCGAATTTAAATCGGAATGTGAATAAAATACATTTGTATCATCGGCAAATAATATATACTGTAGAATTGGTGAAACATTAGAAATATCGTTGACATATATCAAAAATAATAGTGGCCCAAGTATGGAGCCTTGCGGAACTCCACATTTAATAGATGATACGTTAGAACAAACTGAATTGAATAAAGTATATTGTTTTCTTGATGACAAGTAATTTTCGAACCAATCAAGTGCTTTACCTCGTACACCGTAATGCTTTAATTTATACAATAATATAGTGTGATCAAGAGTATCAAATGCCTTGCTGAGATCCATGAATATGCCTATGACATGTTTATGATCAGCCAAGGCATTTGATACTCTATCGAATAGTTGGAGTAGTGCTAAATCAGTTGAATGGAACTTCCTGAAACTAAACTGATCTGGGTTCAGCGAGTCGTTTTGAGTTAAAAATTTATATAATCTGTTGTAAACAATTCTTTCGAGGATTTTAGAGAAACTTGGTAATATGGATATTGGTCGATAGTTCGACATAGAAGGGGGGTCATTTTTTGTATAGATTGGTATGACTTTAGCCGTCTTAAAGAGGCTGGAATAACACCAGAAGACATCGAAAGATTGAAAATGTGAACTAGAGGTGATAAGATACTGCCTATAATTTTTTTAAGCAAATGGGTGCTAACTTCATCATAGCTATGAGAATGACTGGATTTTAATGAGCGAACAATACTTAATATTTCAATAAAATCTGTCGGATATAAAAAGAGCGAAGGGTAAGTTGATTCTGGGAGAAATTCCTTAAAGTCATGGTTATGTCTATCGATTTTGGAAGCCTGGTCAGGGCCTATGTTAACAAAATATTCATTAAACAAATTTGCTATTTCATCTGGCTCATCTACTTTGTGACCATTTATATTAAAGGTTTGTTGAGTAGGTGTACGACTTTTCTTATTAAGCAGTTCTTTAATGACATTCCATGTAGATGATATGTTACCTTCAGCATTTTTTAGTTTGTTTGAAAAATATAATTTTTTGGATAGCCTTATGGTACTGGTAAGCTTATTTCTATATTTCCTGATTATAATTCTATAATTATAAATCGAAAGAGAAAATAAGCGCCACCCTCGAAGTTAGTTTCGAAAGATGGATGATGTATATACTGGGCTGTTATCTTATTGTTACGGCCCTCCATCCTAGAACGGGTCCTGGATGCTGGAGGGCTGGCCTGTCCCTTGCCTGTATCACTGTCATCTGACGAAGAATTTGCCATCCTGAATAATGCGAGCGGTTTCTATTTGGCTTGTAGTTTAGAGACCCTGACGTGGCTCCGTTTTCCCAAAGTATATGAGTGTGGAGATGAAAGGTGTTTTGGATAGCTGGACGTGTATTCTCTATGAAATTACATCAGTCTATGGAGACTCAACTAATTACACGTTATGAAACGATGGATTGTTTAACTGTATACTTTATTAATACAAACATAAGTCAACTTCTCCAACACGTTATCATAGTTAACACCGACACCAATTACCTATATTAATCTCAACAAGTAGTAAAGGCAGGGATTGCCTTTTGTAGGAACTCTATTTCTCGCTTCCAGTCCTTTTCCTTACTTTAGCTCAGCTGGAGGAAAGCGGAGAGTTCGCTATCTGACCAAGACGAGAGCCAGTGTCGAAGTGACGATATCTCAGCTCAATACCGCTATTTATAGGATCTGAGACGCTCTGAGAGCTGCTTTACGCATGGTGCGTCCGTAATCGCGCTCTGAGCCCTTACGCCCCAAAAGCTTACTGCCCTCTACGTTTTCTGCAAGATAACTACCTGTAACGGGCTGGTCCGTTACATTATTCTTATTTTGTCCTCGTTGCACGTGCGTGCTTTTCTATTTTTTTTTCAAGTCATGTCATTTAGTGGAAGCACCCGTAGACATGTCGATTGTACCTTACTATATTTAATTTTGACTACATATTATTTATTGGGATTTAAATATGAATCTGAAAGTTTATTCCTCGAATAACCTTATCTGGATTAACATGACTTTGACATAATATAGTTGTAAAAGTATTGCACGTAAACAGATTTCGACCTTCCCCTCTTTCCATATTTTTTTTCTCGCTTCCGGAAACGCATTTGTTTTGCTTGATCCAAACACAGAGATGTATTAATTTATGGAACTTTTTTTTATAGACTGTAAATGCTTAACATAGTTATTTACAGATGATTCTGCAAACTGTATTTAATAACATAATATTAATGAACAATCTCAGATTTACATGTGTGTGCACTGCAAATTCGTTGTGTAACGACTTTACACAACATTGAATGGTTCACTACTTAAACACGGGTTGTGTTAAGTCGTGTAATAAAACATTACACAACTTTACACCCTGCAACATCTTTGGTGATCTCCTTCTCAATATTGATTTACTGGTCGAGTTACATTATTTGCTGGCCTTTTAGAATAGTCAGATTTCAGAGGATTCACACTTTTCACAACGAAAAACTTCTCCATGTTTCAGTCCTTGCGCGATCGTCTCCAGCTCAAGCAGATATTGGGCGTCAGCGTGCACACCGGTACTACCGGCGCAGTATAGCCACTGCTGAGGGCCGCACTAGCTGCACTGCGAGCTTCCGTTGTTTTTATCGGTAATACTCATAGAGATGGGAGAGAAAGCGCCATCTAAGTTCCAATTCATTGGTTTAAGGTTTGAAAATTGATACTCAATATTGTGTTAAAGTTATATCAGAAAAGATAATCTTTAATTTATAATTCCACGGGGGCGATTTTTAATTTTTCAATCGCCCTCGTGAGCAACCTGACGGGGGCGATTATGGAGCTCACGGGGGCGAATCGCCCATCGCCCTCGTGTATTTTGAGCGCTGTTTACATGTCTATATAACTTCTCCCTTTTTCAATATAGTAAATATTGAATTAAAGATGAGCATAAACATAGGAATTGAAGACAGACCACCTAATTCGTCCCCATGACGAATTAAATTTCTAGTTTTTTTTATAATTTGTATGATTTTACCCTCTTCCCTCTTTTTATGCCTCTGCAATGGAAGTAGCCGGAGGCATTATGTTTTGGGGTTGTTCGTCCATCCATCCGTACGTACGTGTGTACATCCCGTTATTGTTATTGCGTTATCTCAAGACATGATAGATGGATTCCTGCCAGACTTGGGTCATGTATGTATCTTGCAAAGCCAATGAACTGATTAGATTTTGGCATCAAAGGTCACAGGGCTCATTATGTATGCAAAAATAGCTTGTGATCGCATTATCATCAGAACCGATGGACAGATTACCATCTAACTCGAGACATGTACGTATCTTTCTGAGCCAATGGGGTCATGGGGCTCATTATGAAATGAAAAATAGCTTGTGATCGCATTATCATTAGAACCGATGAACGGATTACCATCAATCTCAAGACATGTATGTATCTTGCAGAGCCAATGAATTGATTTGATTTTGGGGTCATGAGGTCAAAGGTGATGGGGCTCATTATGTATGCAAAAATAGCTTGAGAATGCATTATCATTAGAACCGACAGATGGATTAATATCAAACTCTGGACATGTATATATCTTGCAGAGCCAATGAAATTATTAGATTTTAGGGTCACAAGGTCAAAGATCAAAGGGTAATACATGTATATGAATAATAATCACGATATTCTGGGAACCTGTAAATGGATTACAATCAAACTTGAATTTTAAACATTGATACTGTTTTGATTTCTAAAATTGCTCTATTGGCGAAGGCATCAATTTGAACTGCACGCAGTCGAAGATTCATCTAGTTTTTTATGCCTCCATTACGGAGTAGCCGGAGACATAATGTTTTTCGGGTTGTCTTGTTCATGGATTGCAATCAACCTTGGTTTTTAAAATCACTTCTGTGTAGGGTTGTAAAATCGCTCCATGGCAGAGGCATCATTTTAGACTTCGAGCAGTCGAAGGTCCATCTAGTTTCTTCTTTCACTCTTACACTCCCTATCTATTTGCTGACTCTTTTCTTAGTCCCCCTCAACTCCGTCTCCTCCTCCCTCTCTCTTTCTTTCTCCTTTTTCTCCTTTCTCTTGTGAATATTAAGCTCCCACTATCGCATTTTTTCATAGTGTAACTTTGGTTATTCTCGTTGTCTCCTGTAGGATGAAGAAATGGAAGGACGAGCGAGCAGCGATGGAGACAGCAGCTCTGACGAGGATGACCGCTCCTGGCAGGAGGAGCTCAGGAGGCAACATTTCATTCTCCGCCAAGAGAGGGAGATGAAAAAAGAGGCGGCTCGTGAGAGAGATGGCCAAACAGCAGGACCAAAGTTCTACGAACTAAAATCGGGGGAGGAATTCAGCATGGCAGCAAAGAAAACAGAAGGAGCATTAAAGAGATTAAAGAAGTGAGTATCTTGCCCCAGTCACGCAGATGAGACCGACATCAGACTAACAACAGTTTGAAACAGAATTTACATTACACTGAATGGCAAAGAATCAGCTTGGAATCCTTTTGGCAGTGGGGTTTTGTATTACATGTCCTGGCCCTTAAGCCTTTGGTGAATGACATACACCAAGCAGGTGCTTTTTTTCTGAGAGGACTTAGCTTACGTTTCCATGGATACCACAACCACGATAGAAATCATGTCGATTTTCATGTATGCATGAATACAAGATTGGTCTATTCAGCCATCAAAGATCTTATAACAGTCATATCTTCCCGCAAGATCTTTGTTAAAGAATTTCAGTCAGTAGATTCATCTATATGATAAACAATTTAAAAAGTTGTTATCCTACACCATTTCATGGAGGTATTTGCAATTCAGTATCATGTCTTATCCCTTTGAAATGTTTTTGAGCTTTTAATCTGGGCCACTTTTCATCTTATTGGTTGTTTTGCCAATATCATAGAGGAGAAAATATTCAGTCAAACCTGCTTTATCAACCACCTGTATAGCAAGACCACATCTCCATAAAGACCACATTTTTTTGGTTTCTCTTGAAAAAGGTTTCTCATTGAATATGTATCATGTATAGTACAAGAACAACAATGTGAGACTATATTTTGAAAGTGATTAAGTGCTATAGTACATTAGTTATTGATGGTGAGCACAGAAAAAGATGTGAAAGCTCGTAAGTCAGCAGCATGGAGAGCGTGTAGCAAGCTTGGAAGAATCTGGAAATCTTCTCTTCCTAGGCAGTTCAAACAACGTTTGTTTGTTGCTACAGTTGAATCTGTGCTTCTATACGGCTGCGAAGCATGGGCAGTTACAACAAAGCTGGCAAAAGAATTAGATGGTTGCTACACCAGACTTCTTAGGACAGCATTCAACGTGCACTGGAACCAGCATATGACCAATAAAGAGCTGTATGGGAAGGATCTACCAAAAGTATCAGAAAAGATCAAAAAAAGAAGACTACGTTTTGCAGGACACAGCTGTAGGAACATCAATGAACCAATATCTCAGCTTATACTCTGGAAGCCTAAACACGGGAAGAGGAAACCTGGAAGACCTCATCTTACTTATACAGACCTACTCAAGAAGGATACGGGACTTGAACTGTCAGAGATAAAAGCAGCCATGCTGGACAGGAATGTGTGGATGGCCATCACAGCTCGGGCAGTTGACCCGACTTAAGCAAGCACATTAGTTATACCACTACAGTGTATTTGTTGTATCTTCACACTGATGTTATATAATTACTAATTTTTAGTTGGATTGATTTGTGGTCATTGTGTGGAGATATACAAAGATCGATTTGAATGTATTTAGTCAAACTTGCCAAATAACTTATCGGAATACCTTACCGGAATACCTTAGAAATACAGTAACATCTAAACAAATCTGAAGAAATTTGAAAAAATATCTATTTAGCACTTTGAAAGATCTCACAATTACATGTATGAACCCAGTGCACCATTTCCACTCCTTCTCTATTCTGTTATGAAAGCGCATAGAGATATTCAATTATGCCTATGTGTTTTGCCCTAAACTTTCAATTATTATTACCATTCTTTTGCTGTACAGAGCCAGCCTTGCGGAGAGGGTAGAAAAAGAAGCTGACTTTTTGAGGAGAACGTCATCGTCTTTGGGTAATCAACAAATCAGCTTCAAATCTGTAAAGGTAAGCTCAAGAGAACTTGTATAGATTCTACCAGTCAATGGTGTGATTAAAGAATAGAAAATGCTATAAATCATTTGAAAGGGAAATAAGTCAGGTATAAAATGTAGGTTTGAGTGGAATCTAGTCTGCAATCAGCACTATAATTTGACACTTTATCACAATTCCGAAAACGTTGAGCAGAGCCTATTCTAGTTTAATTTTGCAGACACAGTTACATATAACGACTGACCAGGATCTGTGCCTCCACACTAATTGGAATCCGCTGCAAATTTCTTTTGTTTGAATATTATTTTATTTCTTACATTTCAGTGAAAAAACAAAAACAATCATGGGCAAGGTACATGTATACACATAAATTCTTACAATTTACAAGTACACTTATCTTCATCATTACATACTACTAAGTAATGTTTACGATAAAGAATGGTATGAACTCTCTGTTTGTTCTGTTCAAAATGCCCCCACCCATTTTTCTTCTGTCAAATGACTATTATGGAAGTAAAGATTCTTTTCATGATGTAGTATTGTGTGGAATCGTTTGCATGCCTCCCTGTACAAATTTGTGTTCCATGCCCATTGGCACATGTCAGTGAGAAGTAATTTGATGACACTGTCCAATTTTCATGCTAAATTCACACGTTTTTGTGCAAAGTTTCTCATTGTGTTAACACTCCAAACTCACTAGTCCCTCTGCATGATTTCTGACTGTCTTTAGAACGATAAGAACCAGAAGAACCGAGAGGCAGCTGCAGAGCACCATAAAGAGAGGAGGAAACTGCGTCGGTCGGCTGGTAACCTCTCTAAGAAGAAACACAATCGTACCACCACGTCATGATGTCATTGAATTACACTTCATAAAGTGCAAGAACTTTGTTGATAGGTTCGCAACCTGCCGAAAAAGAAACTTTTCAGGAATACTTCCATCATACTGCAGACTGTATGACACCACGCAAAGGAGGAGGAAACTAGACCAGTTCATTGACCCTACAGCATATACGATGTTTGACAGTGGATGGCGACCTTACTCCCAAACTGCGCAGGTCAGCACGATCAGATTACGAAACTAGAGCAGACGATAAGCCAAGGTTTCTTCCGGCAGTGTAAACTAATTCCTCATTTTACTATACTATTGTTCAGGTCTCATGAACTCCCCCAATGATTTGATGAGATCTATGTAGGTACCATCATAATCTGTTATTAGTTTCAAATTATAATTTTTATCAGACTTTCCAGTTCTCGACCCATATGATTGTATTTGTATGGGAACCGGAAGTGCCATTGCCAAATATAACCTTGGCCGGTGCTGCCATTTATGGCCAAATAATGTAGCTGTGGTAGCGAGAATTGGCCACCTCTCCATTATGATATCATCAGAGATTATATGACACCTTAAGGGAGGATAGAACTGTGTTAATCTGCTGGAAACCTGTCTAAGAAGAGACGCCATTGGACTCCATCATGACCTCGTTGAAAATTCCAGTAACCCTTTAAAAGGGGATGTAGCATGCCAAATACTGGATGACGCCATGTACAACTTCTTTTGGAAAACATAAACAAATGGACTTGATTAACGGTCAGTGCACACCAGCGTTCGCGAAACAGACCGAAGTTCTCCTCACGCTTCGGTTTTGCGTATGTTGCACTCACATAAATACTGCGGTCTTGTCGTCCGTAATCGTATTATACCCGATTAGCCCCGAGTCAGGCCATGGGAAAGACACATAGTCTCGTCATGCTACACCCCCTTAAAAGGCAGTCTTTACACAGGTTGTGGTTTGGCTCAATAACTTCTGATTCAGAGCCCTAACATTGTACATCATGCGAGTACGAGTAGAAACTACAAAGGGCAAAAATTCTGTGTACAATGTATCCATATTTGTTTTTATTAATCATATGGAAGAATCCTCTTGGAATACAGTAACAGTCATTTTCATGTAGCTGTTTTAATGTTTGGATAGACATTGTCTAATTTTCTTGAGTCAAAGGAGTATTGAATATAGAATGTCTGTAACTAACACACCTTTTTTTAAATAAACCTGAAATTTATTCCAATCAATGGAAAATTACTTAGAATCGACCTCTACGTCCATTTGTCATCTGGTAAGAGTTTCCATTCATTCCAGCCAATTTTGAAAACTTATGATGAAGGGAAATAATTTTCTGCTTTTAAATGCACGTTTTCTATTGGATCTATAGAAGGTACCGGTACTCTTTTTGTTAAAGTTATCCAAAAAATAGATTTTTAAGAAATCATGAAGATATTGAACACTTTTACTCTTCATTTGATATGACCAATACTTTTTTCTTTGGCATAAAAATTTAATTTGATTTTATCACTGTACAGACATTTGTTAATCTTTAAGACAAGTGCCAATTACCTTTCACTTCTGATGTTTCTTTATTTTTTCTATACTGGATTCATAATTATATACATGTATTTGAATGGTTGAAATGACACTTGCTCCTGTGACAATTGCTTCAAGTCATTTTTCTAGACTAACTGAATTCTGAACTTCAACCCTGGACCCAACACTGTACCTAACCCTGACCTGAAACCCAATCCCAACCCTTGTCCTTTAGCTTTTGATGAAATGAAGCCCAGCGTAATTGTTGCCGGAGCAAATGTCAGGTCACTGTTTGACTGGTTACATAATTTGTATGACATACATGTATAATAAAGTCTACTGGTATAAAGACAAAGTTTGTTGTAATCTGTTATATCATTCTTGAACTGTAGCTGTAGTGTTGAGGGTCATGCAGAATTAGGGGGGGGGGGGGGGGCGTATACAGTATTCAATTCAAAGCCCTTCAATAAGATTACTGTACAAGCAGTTTAGTTTTACACAGGTTTAATTTTTCGCAAATTGCTCATTAGCGAATTTATAGGTAATACAAATTTTTGGTATGGGTCATGAATTTGGTTCAAATGAACATATGCGATCCTACAATATTCAATGATCGTTGATGCGGTTAAAATAGAGTCTAAAGTGATGAAATTGTAAATAATAAGTTTTTATGTTGTATAGCTCCCTCTCAAGGTCAAGATATTAATTTAGTTATAAGACAATGTTTTTGACTAAAATCGACCAATGGGCTATTCCCGTTTGGAAATTATATATGACAACTACATATTCTGAGATTTTCATGGTCGCAGCTACCATTGTGTGGCCGTACGCGCCATTTGAAATTTATCCAAATTTACTGGGAGCACATTTAGTGCTCGCTATTCTCCCCCGCCCCCAGTCACTGGGTTATGCAGCCCAGTTTGAGACCGTACAGATTATGATTGGGCACTTCTATAGTTTATTTTCCTTTTTTCTCTCCTGAAATAATTCTTATGAGATTGTGATACATGTACTCTGTAATGAGTTCACTATCCATGAAAACAGAATGATAATATTGAGAAGTACATGTAATTGGTAGTGGTTGTGGCTTCATGGGAATTCAACTACTGGTAAATTTGTCTGTCAGCTTTTGATCTGCAAAAATACAGTATTTTGTTTTGGGTCTTTTTCTGTTTGCTTTTGTACGGTATTGATAATGAGAAATTTGTTGAATGACGCTAAGTGTCTTGATAGGAACCCCCTCCTTTACTCTTCACCTTTTTTCTGGCTTTTGAAAATAAATCTTTCACTTCATTCACTCTCTACCGCTTTCACCTTCTTTTCCTATATTCTCTGTCACAACAGTTACAGTGGAACCTCACAATAAACTCCTCAGGACCAGTGAAATTACTTTAAAGGTTTTAACCTTGTTGTTATATTAGGGCTAATGCAGCGAAATAATGAGCAAAACCTTTTTTGTGGGGGGGGGGGGGGGGGGGGGGGGGGGCATTACAAAATCTGCAACACCAACAGGTGGTTTGATGGGCAATTGTTTTTCAAGAAGGGGGGGCTGCGGTATTGACAGTAAATCCCCGGAAAATCGTGTCATTTCAGCAACATTCGTAAATCACTGGTATCACGTAAATAAACCATGTTTGAATTTTATTTGGGGGGGGGGGGGGTCTTTAAAGCATTAAACATCTTTTTAACAAAGTTCCACTTAATTTCATCTCTTCCTTTCCCTCCTCTAAAACTTATTTCTTCTTCAACACATCGAGCCTTACCTTTCTTTCACGACTAACACCAATGTATACCATTCTTCCTATCTCTGCTCTTTCCACCCGTTTTCTCACCTTATTTCATCTCTCTCTACCTATCTTCAATTTTTCACCTTTTTGCTTAAAATTACCCACTCCCCAACTCGATTTTTATCTTTCGTTTTCTCACTATCCATATTTCTCTTGAGCCCTTCTACCCCTTCCATGTACGGTGAAACCTTGTTATAACAAACACTTATCTGGAGAGCTTTTTATATAAAATTTCATCAGAGCTATAACAGTAAATGACGAGAATTAAATGGGATTAGGAAAATGACCTTGTTAAGTTGTTTATAATCAAGTTTGTTCTAATCATCTTCTAAGACAAGTTTTCACTTTACTCAAGGGTTATCCTACCTCGATAGCAAAACACTCCTAGAGGAAAGCAGAAAAATAAGAGAAGCCGACTTGTAAAAGTCTGAATGGCATCAGGCAAAAATTAGAAAGTTATGAATTTTTAAGTTATTACCACTTAAAGCATGGGCTCTTCAAATTGGTTGAATCGGTAATGTCTCTGTGATGTAGTGGCGGACAACTTTCCCAATTTTTCTAACACAATATACTACTAGAATTTCAATTTTTCAAAAATCTACAACTAAGAACTATTCTCTTATAAAAAAGGACCTTTTGTAATATGCTATCCGTAATATATTCCAAGTAGTGCCCCCAAGGGAGAAGTCTTTTAGAAGGAAAAAAAATGAATGTTTATGAACATGACTAACAGGAGAGTTATCAGAGACTACGTCACAATCATATTGTCAATTGAATATTTGCATTACCCTTTCAAATATTCAACTTTCTTATTGATGGTCCAATTTATTTCAAACTTTTGCCATTCTGTTCATCTTATTTTTCTGCTTTCACATAAATGATCATATTACATGGGTTGGACTGCCCTTAAATATATCTTTATCCTTCATCACTCTCTCTCTCTCCCTTCTTCCAAACCCAACATTCGTCTTTCCTCATTGTCAATCTCTCATATCTGTTCATATCTTTCTCAATCCCTTTTCCACAACTACTGTAAAACCAGAAACTTGCTCAAACTTTTCCATATCCTTGTACAACATGAACACAACAAAAAGACTGATTAAGAACTGTGAAAGAAATGCACTTGATATTGATGCTTTATTGACCACTTGCTGCTGTGTGCTATGGAAAGGGAAGATGGTAACCTAGAAAGAACATCCAAGAAAACACATTCTTGCATGTCCTTCCTAGCCCTTTGTGAATTGGTGCACTGCAGAGGGGTGCTTCGTTTGGTGAGGGTCGCTTAGTACTGGCTGCCTCTGGTCATCATCAGGATTTACTTGCTGAAGTAGTCCTTGACCACGTCCAGGGCTGGGGACTCCTTTCCGTAATCCTGCAGGACAGTAGAGAACAGAGAAAACATTTTCAGGGACAGCTTAATGGCTCATAGATAAATGGGATGTTGGCAAAGATTGATGATTTGTTGAAGTTGATATTGAATGAATGTCCAACAAGTCACCTCATCAATATACTGCAAACAAGAATCATAAAAGTGCAGGACCTGTAACATGCAAGGAGTCTGCACAATATTTTCCTCTCAGTTGCCAACTATCAATTTTTAAACAAAGTACTTCATGATGGCGCAGAAAATTGAAGAAATACTGTGGAAACTTGATACTTCAGCATGGGAAAAAAAATATACATAAAGAGCCTGGACCATCAAAATTACCGATTCCATGACATTTGCTCCGGCGACAATTGCTCCGCTGTAAATGTCATACACTAATCGAATGGCTAACTTCAACCCTGGATTCAACACTATACCATACCCTAAACCTAACCCTAAACCTAACATAAAACCCTATTGAAACCCTAACCCTAACCCTACATCTTAGACGAAATAAAGCCCGGAGCAATTGTCGCAGGAGCAAATGTCGTGTCACCAAATTACCATGTTGTAGTAGGGATCTCATTATATTGCAGCTCTTTATAACTACTTTGAAGTGCTTTTGATAAAAAATAAATCACTCCCTGACTCGCTTACCTTAACAGCAACACAGCTGCATGCCACTACTTTACGGGCCTTTCCCTCCTTGTCAATCTTACAAAGTCCAGCCCATTCGCCAAGCTTCTTGTTGTCATCAACCTGAAAAAGGACATTAAAATAAACACAGATCACTCATTAAGTCAATGTTCATATACTTATCAATAAGATGAATGTAATGCAGATATATACAGTTTGAACTTTGACTGAAAGTGCTCTGCCATGAGAAGTTTAATTGTTCACTTTTACACAGTAGATTGATGACGATAACATTTTTAAGATGATTTGATACCCTATATATGAAACAAGACTACTACCAGTACATATGCTTGACGTGGAAAACCAAAGCATGAGAATTATGAATAAATATTGAATTTTCTAAAACAATTCTCACAAGGTCTCAAGCTTCTTGCAAAAACATGACAAGAGATTATTAAAAACATTTTTGAAAGGGGGGGGGGGCTTGAACAAATAACTAAGTTGCCCTACATTGCTGAAAAATGAGCTCACTATGAAGAAGAAAAAAAGAGATGAAGCAAAGTCTAGCAAGGAGAGTGCTTATACCTTAAGAAGGTTGATGTTGTGTTCCACGCAGAGAGCCTCGACCAACTTCTTGTAGGCCGGTTCGTCACAGTTGTTGGCTAGGACACACAGATGAGCTTGACGCTTATCCAGGGCTTTGGTAGCTTCATGGATCCCGCGGGCCAGACCTTCGTGGATCAGGGCAGTCTTAAGCACCTCCTGCAGGGCAGTGTTCACATCCATAGGGCCTCCGACAGAAACGGCGGCAGCCGCTGCAGCAGCAGCTGGTTGATCATCTCTGCATTAATAGTAGATAAATAAACAGAATATAATAAATAAATGTATAGGAATAATGAGCCTATTATGTTATCAATAAATGATACTTTCCAAGTTTCAAGTCCATGAGTAATGTTTCTGTCAACATATTCATGGGACCTTGAATGGTATTGGTAGTCTAGATCTAATGCTCTTCATAAGAAATGGCGAGACATGTGTAGATAACCAGACATACAATTAGGGAATATTTTTTAAAACCATTAGATTAGGCCGAGTGAAATCAATTCAGAGATTCTTGTCATCTCTTACTTCCTCTCTTTTTATTTATTTCCTGCCTACCTTTTCAATATTTTTTCTTAAATTTTATGAAGAAAAAAAAAAGGGGGGGGGGAGGGGAGAGGCGAGGTGAAAAATATCAAGCTTCTGAAAATTTGTTTCAGAAAAAAATGCCTCATTGTGTACTTTCTTTCAAATTTAGTATCCAATATACAGTATATGGAAGACTGTCTCAAGTACGACATTCTCCCAATGCTAGGGGAATGACTACTCCTTGGACTCTCATCTCCATCAAAACCAGCCCAAGATTCCCACAAATCTTTTTTTTAAATTTAATTTACACCCAAAAAATGAAATGTGTGACAGATTCACAGAAGTATTCATTAACTACAAAAGCCTGAACAACTAAAAAAGACTTGTTCCAATGGCAATGCAAGGAAGTTGATCTAGAAATTGCTTTATTGGAACTCAAAAAAAGTAAAATTGACCCCATATGGGGGGGGGGGTAAAATAAGGAACAAAATACACTAACCAACCAAAAAACAACATAATTGAAAGAAAAAAACTGATATAAACATTCCTACAACTTCAAGTTATGAAGAATGTAACGTAAGTTAAATTGAAGGTTTGGTGATTCTCTAGATTCTTCCCAAAGCCAAAGTAGATAAAAGCCTGGATAGAGAATAGCAACGCACTATTCCTCATCAGGCTTCGCACCCACCCAACTCTAACCCTAAACCCTTACCCTAAAAATGAGAAACTATTCTCTTTCCACTAATTCCTTTTTTGTAATAAATACTTTGGGCAGAATCCAGAGAACAAGGATCGTTCGCGGACGTTTCATATTTACGATTCGCGCGTTGGCAATGCGAAAACATATTCTGCAATGATTTTCTTGATTATGTTGATACAGTTTAGACTTCTACATTGACTTTGTACAGAGATGTTCATGTTACGAGCGATAAATTCCCGGAAAGACAGACAACCCATAAAAGTAGACGGTGAACTGGGGTATTTTCTTACAATACAAGGAGGAATCTGAAACCCGCAGAGCATTGATGAATCAAAACATCTGTGAAAATCGATCCTTATTTTTAGGACGCAATTTGTCCGCATTCACGAGGATATTCTGATTTAAGCGGACGATCCTCATTCTCGGACCAGAGCCTCTAATGATTGCCAAGGCCGATGGTTTATTTAGTAGGCTGGTAGGCAATCAATGCTATTTCATAAACCCTCGGGCCTCTGTAATCATTTTGTAGGCTCCGCCCGCTTGTGCTATAGATCAGCGCAGAAACGCACGGCACGCGCGCGCTTCCTATTGACTTTGTACATGCGGTCGTAAACTGACTCGCTAGGTCGATAACCGGCTCCAAAACAGTGAAAATTGAACTGAATATTGTCATTGTGATTTTTTTCTGGGATTCTTTTTTTGATTAGATATTAATAATATTTGCTTCATGATTTGAACAAGAAATGATAATAAATAGGAAGTAAGGGTCCAAAAAATAGGATTTTGTCTTTAGTGGCCGAAAACCGGCTCCTTTACTCTATATCTACGATATATCTATACAAGGCGCTAACGCCACGGCATACGTACGGAGATCGAGCTTGTGTGTACACTTCACTGCATGGGTTTCACTATGAGCCCATCCCTCTTTAAGCCCGCGGCAGCGCCCTCGAAGTGGCTGCTGCGTCCGTAGTGCCGTGGCAGTACCACTTGGCACTACCTAGCCTCTTGTCGATGCCCTCGCGCTGTTGGAGTCTCTAAATTCTGACGAGCGAAGCGAGTCAGAGAAACCGAGGCGCTTGCGCGGAGGGCCTCTTGACAAGTGATCTGAATTTCTTATGTTTTACTTTGTTTGGCGAATATTCCGACCCAGCAGAGTTCGGTGAAAGTCATCCAATCAGAGAGAGCTACTATGACGTAATATCTACCGCTCTGTGCGAATTCCCTCCGTGAGAGCGGGACTGGCCGCCTAGTTGTAGTCTGCAAGCACAAGCCCTGGTCAGTCGTAAAAGAGAGTGTGCACTATAAGACTACCATATGCCACGTACTATAGCTGCTCCTGACCTATATTGGTACAAGCAGTAGGTACCAGTAGATAGCTGGGCTAGGCTTCTCTCAAGGCACAATGATTTTTTGATAAAGTGTCAAATTAGGGTCTGTGCTTGCAGACTAGCCTAGTTGGGCCATCCCGAACACACACGTACACACACACAATCGCTGCGGTCTAGACATGCATAGAGTAGTGGCTCCGGTCTGCGGCCGATCGGCGGGAACTGCCGATTCTATTTTTATTGGAATACTCACAGAATACTTCAATACCCTCAATAAAGAGTCCATATACTTACTTATTAAATAGAAGTCACAAATAACATAAATGACCCACAGCGTGGTCAGCATTGACCACGTTTCGAAATGCTTCGAGTTCCCCGGTTTGCGGGCACGCAGTACCGGTTTGCGGCACGCGTACGTCACAAAGCTTTATGCGCTACGTCACGATGAAAGCATGTACCAAATTACTACGGGTAACCCAAATTCTCATGTTTATCTGTTGCTACGGTAAATTTGTCAAGTTTTAAACAATTTCACCTTTTCCTCGAATGGATCATCCCATACGGGGGTACGTACTACTAGAAACTATCTGGTCATAGCGGGTACACACATCAGCACACATACCATCATACACGATCCCGCATGTTATGTGTGTATTAACACCCCCCGCCGCAAACCAGAAAAAACACGTAATTACGTGCCGGTTTGCGGCCACCCCATGCAACTGGCCATGCGGTGGCACAATCAAAATATCTGCGATAGGAGACAGACCACAGCCATCATACTTCCACAAAACATCAAATTTCACCTCCAATCGGACAAATATCGGACAAATAGAGCTACAATATTGATCTAGTCATGCCTCAATCTCTTAACTTAAAAGTTAGTACCTGCTGGAATTTTCATCGGCGACTGGTGCCGTAGATTTCCGACATCGCTGACGGATACTCCGTACCGACAGGAGCACCTGCTACGGACGTTTTCGGCAAAGCAGAACTTACCGTGGAATCCACGGTAGGTTTCAATGATTATTATCGAGTCATATTCATTTTATTTTTAAAACAAATAGGCCTACCCCTGGCCGCAAACCGGGCAATGCCGCAAACCGGAGACTCTACTCTAGTCTAATTCAGTAGGAAATCGGGTCTCATGAATATATAATTCAGATCACTTGTCAAGAGGCCCTTCGCGCAAGCGCCTCGGTTTCTCTGACTCGCTTCGCTCGTCAGAATTTAGAGACTCCAACAGCGCGAGGGCATCGACAAGAGGCTAGGCACTACCAGGCACAGAAAGTTTAGACCAGGCAGTAGACGAGTGGCAGAGCAATAGCAAACGCCACAAGTCTCATCAAATGCCACCTTTAAAAAGAGAATCAAGGGCACATTCCACCGTAAATTGTTTACTCAAATGTATATTCAGCTCATTTAATCTACTTAATCAGATCGTAATTGTTTCTCGTTAGGCCTACAGCTGATAATCTCGCTCACTTCGTTTCTCTCATATACACGTGCAACCATACAGGCTCTCACGATCACCGGGCCCAGTTCCCTACGACACATTTGTAAACGATATTGAAGAACTACTCACCCTTCCGCATCAGACATTGTAAACGGACGTCCTCGCTGAAACAAAAACACAAAAATATGAAACGTTAATATTCATTCTACAGTGTGACATGTATTTTCATTCAGGATTATATCGGAAATATGTAATAAAGTGAGATTTTACATCGCATTCACTTACATGTCAACCACACGAAATGAAGTTAAATTTGAAGAGGAAGTAGATTTCGAAATGCCTTGTGGGATTGCGGAATACGCCATCTCGAAGTTGTGTCGTCTGCTACAATAAAATATACTTGGTACTTGGTTGTTGTTCTTCCAAAAGATTCCTGGTGGAATTTAAACTGGAGGTCGTGGTGGCAGAGAGTGGACAAATATGAATAGTTTGTTGGGAATTTCGCAATTTAGTATAGAGATATCGACTGCTACGAGAGGACTGGCTGTTTTTATACGCTCACGGTAAATTGCCTCCGCTGCTATCACCCCTCGGCGCGCCTGGGCGATCGAGAGCCAGTATAGAAACAGACAGCCCTTGAGTATTAAAGCAGTCGATATCCCTTTTATATGCCGATTTCAAACAAAAATCTACCAAGAATTCTTACTTTATCCTTTTATCGAGTAAAATCTGAGAAGCTGTCTGTTGCACCGACGAAAAATGACTGAAATTTTCGATCAGTTGGGAATCGCAGACAAAAAACACTAATTTCTTTTTTGGCCGGGGGGGGGGGGGCACGTGCCCCCTGTGCCCCCCCCCCCCCACCTGGATCAGCCACTGATTATAGGCCCTATTTTTTTGGGGGGGGGCTTATTATATACTATTTAATCAACATGAAGATAGATATACAAATATAAAATGGTCCAGATAATATCCAGATATAAGTATATAACAAGCCTGTTGACATCAGCATTTTATCGTACTTCGTTCTTCTTATTTCTTATTTTAGTGACCACAACTTATTTATTTCCACAACGTTGCACTTGGAGGACGAAATATATATATTTTTGTATTGCATTAAGCTTTTTTCTTTTCTTTCTCATCGTTCCATGTCGAATTATTGACAATCTTTTTCATCATATTTTGTACGGAACTTATTCTTTACAAGTTTTGATTTTTATTAGGTTTCGTCATATTTCACTATCAAATAAACATGTCGTCTTCTTGTAAAAAATGTTTAATATAACTCGATCAATAACTATATTTGTAACATGTATCTAATTTCATTTCGTGTGATTATAATTTATAAAGTGTTCTTTTATATCGTAATATTTGTATCATGTGAAATATGAAAACAATAAAACAATAAACCAATACTGAAACCCACTGTTTCCCACTAAGAAGAAGGAAACAATTTGTTTTTCAATGTGTGACACATGATGGCGTTTTTCTATGCACATCATATTTTCGCTTGGCAGCCCAAGGGAGGGGGGGGGGGGGGTAAACCCTAACAATTGCAATTGGTACCAAAGTCGTGAGGCATGATTTCTTTTTCTCTCTTCCAGGAATCACCCCAAAAAATCTCTTTCTCAACATTACCAATCACGCAATATGATTTTATTAAAGGTTTTCCCGCCCAATTTCATCAGAGTTGCCTTCGCATTCATGAATAGGCGTTCAAGTTCAAACGATTTTCGTCAACTCTCTGCTCCCATGGTTCCTTTTCATTCTTTGAGCATTCTATTTCGTTTTATATCACTCCGGCAACTAGAAAATTTTACAAACTTTGAAAAACGGACCGATTTTTAATGGTATTTTTGTTAAAAGTGGGACCCATGGTTATGGGTTTTTTGTGAAAAAGTTACCCATTAGAGCGGCACACCCCGTATGTCCTAATCGGTGAGTACCCCCCCCCCCCCCCCCCCCCCCCTGGAGGAAATCGTGAAATCGCATGCTTATACAATTAAATTATATGCAACGCTGACGAAATCGGGCGGGTAAAACTATAATTTGTTTTGTGAGAAATCATTGAAAGAAATGCCAAGAAAATTATGATTCAGCGTAATATATCATTTTATATAGGAAAGGTCACACGATGCAGGCGGATCCAGGATGAGCACTAAGTTTTTGGTCCTCGAAAATTTGAAAAATTGCACCCCCCCTTGAGCGCCATCTCCAAAAAGGGTAAAATTAACGTTAAAAAATGTAAAAATACACATTTTCCCAGGGAGGCCCGCCCCCCCCCCCCCCTGGATCCGCCACTGACACGATGTGACCCCTTTCAATGTATGACTATGGATTTGTTATAATAACTCTTTATGTTATTCACCTTCATTTAGTGTGTATAAATAGAAATGTCTTTCATAGTAGGCCTGGATTTTACGTCAAAACGGATTCCCATATAGAAGCATAGGTGTTTCATCCCCCGTCAGATTTTCGCTCGTTCTGTAGAAATTTAATGCGGAAGATTCAAATGCATACACAATACATTTTGTACAGTGGACATGAACGCACGCGCGCGCTCTCCCCCCCCCCCCCCCCCCCCCCCCCCCCCCCCTCTCTCTCTCTCTCTCTCTCTCTCTCCTCTCTCCTCTCTCTCCCCCTCTCCCTCTCCCTCTCTCTCTTTCTCTCTCTCTCTCTCTCTCTCTCTCTCTCTCTCTCTCTCTCTCTCCCCCTCTCTGACAGTCTCAGCCCCGTCCCATTTTCTCTCTATCCGACCTCGTTACTAGCTAGCTCCTTCCCTTCACAACTCTGTAGGACCCATGCGTGATCAGACTTAGCGTGTTTGCTGTATGTTGGAAATTAAATGGGGGAAAACCCTTGGCACATAATTACTGTTGTGATTCCTGTACGTGTAAACATAATCCTAGTTTCAATATTTAAGGCCTATATATTTTTGTTTATATTACTGCAAAAATCGAAAGAAATCGTTGGTCACAAGCGTGATGGACAGTTTGTAGACGACATCTGCATGGTGTGACTTTTAAAAAAAAATTGATATTCCAATCTCATGCTAATCATAATGTTGCCGACATTTAGTGCCATCGCATCTATAACTCATTTCTGATGATAAGAAACATCATCTTAACAAGAAGAAATAGGCGAGATATTAGAAAGGAGAGTATGGAGAGTATACGGAGAGAGAGAGAAAGAAAGAGAGAGAGAGTGTGTGTGTGTGTGTTAGGGGTTGGACAAGACAGCATGATTAGAGAAAAGAGAATTGGGTTGAGGAAGAGAGAATGAAAGAAAAACAAACTGAGAGAGAGAGAGAGAGAGAGAAAGAGCAGGCGATAAAAAGAAGAAACATTGACATTTAGAAGAAAAACATATTTTGTATAATTATACTCAGCAAACAGCAAACTCTTAAAACATTTCTTTATACAGAAAACTTTTATTTTTGAGAGAGCTGAACTTTGTTTAATACTTGGGCCTAGACCAGTGTATTCCCCAATTCAGAACTTCCCGAACTCTCACAATCCGACAGCAAAACTTTTGTCCGCCCATAGCACATTTTGTATCAATAATCCAACATTAGTTATCCATGATGTTATCTGGTATAGTATGGTCCTACACTAATTTCAGCCTTGAAAATAGTTCAAATACAATATAGACTTCAATAATATAGCAGACCTTTATTCATGCTATCGGTCAACTGGAAAATCCGATGTCATGACGAAAATGGGAAAGTGGGACATGGAACATTGACAGGAGATGAAAAAGAAAGGACCCCTCTCGCACCCGGTTCCCCCAATCGATGGCCTTATTAATTCTGATTTAATTCACATAGTGAGATCATTATTGCCCCCTTTATCATCACCCCCCCCCCCCCCCCCCTCCTCCTCGATTGGTGACCGAGATACCCCACGCCACTCAAGTCGGATGTCCTCCTTGCGTAGTACGGACGTTTCCTTGTCTTGTGGTCCTTTTGACACTGCTTGAAAGCGGTTTCTCAGAAACAAGGATATCATTGAATTAACTTATCTAGTGGTTCTGATTTTGCTTTTTGCAGATTATAATCATGGGTCTTGTGTTGCCACTATGCTGTAAGGTTATACGTACGTCGAGAAAAAACAATATCTGTACGAGTTTAATGAATAATCAGTGCAACAGACTTAGCTATCCATCAGAGTGTTTCTTCACAGTTTTAAAATATCAATGCCAATATCTTGGCATATAATAATTTATGAAAACGCGAGCATCTTTTGCGCAGCGCACAGAACGGGATCAACGCACTTACAGTAAACGGATTAATGACAAAAAGTGAAAGTGCTTACAAACAAATAATATCGAACATAATTATTAAGGAGAAAACACTTGTCATTTGGTGTGTTCAAATTCATTTATACTCCCTCACAATCACAATTTTGGGAGTCTGTTCTACTATCGGGGAACTCCTGATGTAAATTATACCGTATAAAAGGCTGATTAACTTGCATAAGCGATCGGGATGATGATTGTAATAATCTTGATGTATATGTTCATGCCACAACGCTAATGTATCGTAAGAACGGAGATAACAGGTCTAGAGTTTCAATTCTTGTTTATCGTTGATTCGGGGCCTATGCATTCTGAGCCTCCCGAAGTAACTGCGCTATTATTTTTTTTCTTTCTTCTTTTTTTGGTGGTGGTCCTATACTAACCTCTACGATATATCGAACGATTCACACACACAAAAGTATCAGTTGCGAATGTCAGAAGTCTGTAAAGAAAAATACTCTTCCTGTTGTTAGAAACATTATTCTATGAATAAATCCCAAGAAACGATTGAAATTACATACTCCGAAGAAGGCGTGTCGGCACTTCAGATATCCGGTTTCCGGATGCGTGTACGTACCAAACGACATGATCATTGAACCGGATATTTCGAGATGGCCTTTTACACGATTATTTTGTAGATGAAAAATGGGGAGGGTGGAGATGGGGGTTGAGCGGAACTCCTAACATATTGCTTACTTGAATGAAAGTTTATATTGTATATCATCACTATCTGTTTTTTTATATAAATAATTTAGTTAATAGTATAGGGCAGTGGCGTATCCAGCATAGAATGAAGCAGAGAAACCCCCACTACCCCACCCAACAAGCATTCTTTAGAAACATACTGTAAACAAATCAATATACAACTTGCAATTGGTTTACAACGCGCCGGGATGGCAAAACCGCCCCACCCCCTTATCTAGCAATAATATTATTGTTGGATACGCCCCAGCTAAAAAGGAATTGACAGTAGATAACCCGCCCATATAAAGAATATTGAACTTCATGAAACCAATGCTCCCAAAATGAATATTTTGCAGGTAGTCATGCACTAGGAACTTCCCAATAGATTCAGCCAA